CATTGAAGAGTATATGCGTGGGAGCGAAATCCGTGATCTCTTGTTGCAGGAACGAGACGAAGTCTTCTAGTCGTGCTGACAAAAGTCCCTTCTATATGAGCAGGCAGTTAGAAGATACTCATGAAATAGTGAGAGAGGGTGTAGGACAAAAGGGTTGGCGCATTTACCTCGATGTAGTTTGCCGTCTCCCTAGGCATGGTTTTGAGTATGTTGTCTTTACCACCGAACGCTTCGTCGAAGGCTTCCTTTTCCAACGCCACATACTGAACGCCGTCATGTACGACCAGCTCCTCGACTGCGAGATCGATTCCTGCTTCTCCGTATCCGCTTCTCAGATGCATACGCCTCTTGCGTAGTTCCGGATTATGCTCTCCACTGCTAGTCATGGTACGAACATATGCATCGACTTCGCCACGGTGCGAGTAGCAGATCTGGCGGACCGAGTGACCACGTGATGCAAGATGACGCAACAAGCAAAGGTTGGCTTTGTATCCCCCTGAGGAAGAGAAAAGACCTTTTGCGGTCTGGACAAGGAAGACTCGCATGTGGTTGGGGCTTGAGGAGGTGGACGAGATTGAGGAGTTTCGTGAGAAATCTGAATAGCTTGATAGTGTGTCTGAATCATAAGACATTTTGACTAAGTGTATTCAAGCTCTGTATGGATGGTAGTTGGAGCTGAGTATTTGGGAAGTTGAGAGAAAGACCGAGGAAAAGACCGAAGTATATGTATTCTTGCGAGTAGCAGTTGTATTACACGGCTGTGGTTCCCGTGAAGGAGAGAATACACAGATCTGTCCGCGAGAACGTCACAGATACGGAACGTCAACAGGCGTCAGTGCAGCCGGAGAGTTGCCGCAAAAGGGTCCGGCTAGGTTCGGTCCTGAAATGCAGGGTCGACGTTCTTCGTCAACATTCGATAAGTATGACCATGCCCGACTAGTAGAGCACGACGCTACGACATAATGCTTCTGGGTTCATTTGGAATCGAGATGAGGGGGAAAGATATGGCACTGAAAAGAGGAGTTGGTGTCAAAACCTACCACTGTGTGTTGGTAGCTTTGCCAAGCGCCCTTCACGTCTGCTATCAATAATCACGTCTCTATCTTGTGTCTGTCACTTAACTGGCTATGGATGTGGGATCTACCTACACCCTGCGTCACACCTCCTAGTCAATAGCGCGCTTTGTAGTTTCCCTTTATGTCATGGCTGTCAAACAGTAGCTTACCCACACATGTTACCGAAACTTCGGATCGCACCCAAGTCTGTAATCCGTCATCATGCCATCGTTTCCTGTCGGTAACAAAATAAGGCTGTCAGATCTATCCACTCAGACGCGGGTATCCAATCGGAGATTTTTGACATATAGCCTCAATGATGCAGCACCGGGTTCATGGGCTCCACGTACTCAGACGGAGGGTATGAGCATGCTGCCAAGACAGTATGCCTTCCAGGTGGATGATTGGCATCAAAACACCCGATTCTGGCGCTGCGACTCGATCTGCGACCACAACGTAGGATATCTCTTCGATCGCGAAGTCGCTGTATCGATATGATCGTTTGACGTTTTTGGATTCAGTACTTTGGTGTGCCTCGGGTCGATTGTACTACAATCTGCGTCTGCACCCTTCAGCCAGCCCACCAAATCAACCCTCTTGGGCGGAGCGTAGCAGTTTCACAAACATGTTATCCCAATCTTAACAGTTTATCATGTCCTGAATATGCATAGTTCTTCCTCGCCCCAAGGTCCTTCATATGCTCTTGGCATTGTAGACTTCTTCATCGACTTTGTTCCCAGCAAAAGTCGTTCCCATCGCAACGACGTCAATCACACGCTCAATCGAGGTAAATCTGCCGCAAAAGTGAGGTTATCGCATACGGCAAGAGTAGCCACATCGGTCGATCATTGTACTGAGGACAGGTGTGATTTGATCGGAGATATCTTTCCGATGACTGGGGGCTGCGGACTAGTCACCCCACATTGGCGACTGCACGCATTGGGTGCTACTACTACTACTACTACTACTACTACTAAGTTTATCCCATACAGCAGAATACAGAGAGCTCCACTATCGTACGAGAGCGTGCAGGGACTATGCTAGAAGTACTGTTGTGCTAGGAACTGGAGGCCTTAGTGTTATTTCCGAAATTTTCGGGTACAGGCATGGTTTGGGCCCTGGATACGTCATTGAATGGTAGATGTGGATGATGTTGGTGTCATGTTGACCACAAGCAATGTCAAACAAGAGAGTTCGAGATATCTGGTCTAAAGAAAAGTTTATCTTGCCGCGAAGAGATTTCAATGAATTGGTATGTCACACTGGAGCATCATCACGGAACTTTGTTACTACACTGTGCAAAGTGGCGCGGAAGAATTTAAGCTTAAGATAAGAAAAACAAAGCTCAATTGATTCAATCTATATGCTTCTTACAGTTGCATAGCTATACGGCATATGCGGAAGCAAAGAAGACTCTCCATCTCAAAACGGTACACATTGCAACATATCCCTCGCATCCCTCGGAGTTCTTCTTGCGGTTGCCTAGCTATACAGCGAGGTATGCTGGCACCATGAAGAGCCTCCATCTAGCTACCACCCATCATACAGGGAAGTAACACATGTCCCGGCTAAGTTCTCAATGACACAATGACTAATTAGTATCCTCCAAATCTACCCAAAGAATATTCAAAGCGAACTTGTCCTCGTCACGGCCTTTAGCCTTTGATAAACGAGCCTCAGGGAGAGTCCAGACTCACTTCCTAAAGATGGCCCACTCAGGGGCAACAAAGTCCAGGGTAAATTCCTGCGTGTCCTCATCAAACTTGCGATCAAACCAATCGTGGTAAGTGCGTAACTGATCCTGGTACATCTGGCAGCTCTTCGAAACTAGCTGCTTGATGGTTGTTTGGCAATCCTTACACTTGAGATATGCTGCCCTGAAAGCGGGGACCAACTCATTATCCATTATGTGGTACAATTCGTGGGCTGAAACGCGTGGGGAGATATGTGTCAAAGTGATGAGGAGCTTTGTGAGATCTTGGATAGCTGGATCCAGATCGGTGAAACCATCGCCCTCGTTGACTTCGTGGTACCGCTTGAGTTGCTCGTCGTTGCGGACATCCTGCCGAGTCTTGTGGTAGACGACACCAAATGTACAGTATAACTCCTCCATTTTTCTACAGCACTTGAGGTAGGAGTTGACCTCTTTGATCATGTTTAGAATTTGGGCGCGCATCTTGGTCTGGCCTTCTTCCTCGCGGGAAGGGTCGGCCCACTGGCAGTCGGTGTAGTCTGAAGAGTTCCAAATTTCACAGAGTTGGCAAGACATTGTTTGAGGGTGAAAGCTTAGAGTAGGACTGTCACTGCCAACCTAGCTTTCACAATGAGATCCCAAGGTTACGCCACTGTTCAAGACTTCTTCATTAAGACAGTCTTTGTAGCGAAACATGGATGATCAAGCTGATCATTATATAGTACACTGTGAAAGTCTCTACGATACTTGTAGGGATTATTTGAATTCACAGGTTATCACACTAATCGATTGTGTACCTCCTTTGAGAGATAGGCTTAGTGAAAGACGATTTTGTGATCAACGGTCATTGTATATGTAAGATAACCCGAGCTCGATTACTACCCATCTATCACGACTCGTTGCATTTCCACATCGATGCTTAAGGTGTGTGTGGTCAAGTCCACACTGTTGCCAAAGGACCACGAGTACAATCCATTTACATTATGAATCTCGTTTCTCCATCACCTCCAGCGCACGAGGCCTGGCCTGATGAGCGTGTAAGAAGATAAGGACTCAAATGTCTCCCAACGCTGAAAGTAGGGTTATTACAGCCATATACAGGGTTCAAGTTCCAATAAGATTCGGCACACTAAAGCGGAGTTAGTCGGCATGATGACTTGAGATTACAAGCCACTTACACAGGTCATAAAACCCCATTTGATGCTTTTATCTTTGGCATCCACAAAGGAAGTCCATACGGAAGAAGTATCGCAGCAAGCATCCCAATTGACGCCGGTAGCTGCATATCCCTCTTTTGTTGCTGGTGCTGGTGCTGCCTTGACATGGGAAACTCCGGAGAGAATGAGTAACACTGAAGGTATGGAAGAGAAAGTAATTGCCTTCATGTTCGGCTTGTGGAAAAAGCTTCGATTGGTATAGTGTGAACATTTTCGATGCTTGACTCAAGAAGCACTTGCGCAGAATTTATACAAGGGCTACCCGGACGAATTTTTCTTCAAACATCCAGCCCTCATTCGGGCCGCTGGACACGTACAGTACATAGCATGTCACTTGTTCCAACATCTGGTCACATATGATAGAATACGACCAAAGAGAAAGTGTAGCGAGAAGCTCTCAGCTGTGTTTCTTATGCGTCTAGATGGGTATACACAACAGTTTCAGATGGATATCCAGTTCAGACCTGGGGCGACGCCGGATTGAATCACCAAGAGTAGGTGGACCACTTCGTTTCCCTTGAGATGTTGTGTAGGGTTGCACTTGCTGATCTGGAAATAAATACATGGTTTCATTAGGTGGAATGTTAGCCGAGTGCCATGGCAGTGGCTAGTGTACCTGAGGTATCTCTGGGGCATACCTACAGTAGTGCTGACATGGGCGTCATCGGCACTGATTTATATACGATACTGAAATAATGACGGCCTAGACTCGGGAGAATGTGACAGCCAAGGAGTTGAACAATGGAATCGACCGCAGAAACCGACAACCGACCCGAAAGCCAGGAAGACACGTGATATGATTTGAACGCTGGCCCTTTGTACCCTAAGTTTTTCGCTATCTGGTGCGATTGGGCTTATGTACCCTGTAACCTCGGCAGTAAAAAGAATGATTTGGAGTCCTCAAATACTTTTAGGTCAAAGAAATTCATCTATACCGCGATTACCAGCTGGAGCGGTACCAGCAAGGTAAAGCGGAATCTGCATGGTTGAAGCCTGGTCGGAAAGTACATGTGGCATTTCAATGGTCGAGATGGCAAGTACGAATGTGCGCATCATGGTCAAGATAAATGCCATCAGGTGCACAACGAGGACATGGATGTAGATGAATGGTGAGAGGTGGGCTGATGGGTTCCAGACGTTCCGGGCGGGGTGGAAGGAGCTCGAAGCACGTGCTGGGCTCGGTCATCACGTGAAATGAATTGGGGGCTGTGACCTCATCAATGCAGCATAGCCCTACCGCGTCTCACCCTTCAAATCCTCCCTCGACCTACCACGACGTCGTACGCCAACCTTTCACATCGCCTCGCAAGGAGTTGACCTCAGCGACAAAGAAAACAAAATGTCCGGACCGAAATATCAGAACGTGCCCCAGCGCGACTCGTTGGATGAGGCTGCGCCCGCGCCTTCGTACTCGCAGGCGCCACCCAGCTATCAGGCTGCCAACCCCGAAGAAGCTCTGTTGAGCGGCCTCCCTCGCGCGGAGAATGACAACCTTCCAGATGATTTCAAGTTTGGTGGTGTGGTCGCAGAGGCTACACTGGACATCCGGATGGCGTTTGTGCGAAAGGTGTACGCGATTTTGTAAGGAAGGCCAGGCATCCAGGAGACGTCGCATATGCTGACTAGCCCTAGAACCGTTCAACTACTTGCAACCGCCGCCGTCAGCTTCATCTCTATGACATCGGAATCATACAAGCACTTTGTCCAGACGCACCAGTGGCCGCTCTGGGTGTCGCTGTTCGGCTCCTTCGCCTTCCTCGGACTTACCTTTTGGAAGCGAAAGTCGTACCCTACGAACCTCCTGTTCCTGGGCGGATTCACCGCCATGGAAGCATACTCCATCTCCGTCATCGTATCGTTTACCGAATCCAAGATTGTGCTGCAGGCCCTGTTCTTCACGCTGGGCATATTCGTAGCGCTGAGCCTATTCGCCTGCCAGTCAAAGTACGACTTCACAAGCTGGGTGCCGTATCTGTTTGGAACGCTCTGGGTGGTGGTACTCTTTGGCTTCATGTCATCGTTCTTCCCGTACAACAGCACGGTGGAACTTGGCTATGGTGTCATTTGCGCACTCATCTTCTCGGCGTACATTCTAGTTGACACGCAGATGATCATGCGCCACTACCACGTCGAAGAGGAGATTGCCGCGGCGATTTCGCTCTACCTCGACATCATCAACCTCTTCCTTGCTATCCTGCGCATCTTGAACTCGCAGAACCAGAACTAGGGTGGGTCGGATACGGGCTTGGAGGTGTAGGGATGACTTGGGATCAGATTGTTTAGGCGTTAGGGCCAAGAATTCGTCATGCGTTAAAGCTTGGGGGGTATTCAAGCGCAAGCTAGTTCGGGACTAGTTTTTCTGTTTGAGCCATCTCGGGCAGTTTTCTTCACCTCTTGATACACAATAGCAGGATTAATATAAGTTTATCGCCAAGGGTACTTGTGCGTTCAATGTCCATGCTTCTGCGATTCCTATGGGGCCATATCAGGCGACGGCGGGGTAGGACCGGAGCTCTACCGGGACGTGGTGGGTATGGGGGTTGCAGGATGCGTGGGGCCCATGATTGGCTGCGAGAGCGAAACGGCCATGAACCCTGAATTGAGGCGCGAAGCTTTGCACCCGGACGCCTTGGCAATGTTGATATTTGCACCCGCCCGACGATAACTGCCGTCGACCCACACACAAGGTTGAGAGATGAGCAATTGAGGTTTTGTCCAGTTCTCACTACCTAGGACTCAAGACTGCCGCCGCCTCTATCTAGTCAAAACGTCTGCCCGGGCTGCTATGTGGTACAGTACATGGTAGTAAAGTTACGCGAGCATCGTATTCGTCAGTAGCGCGCTGCACAAGACAGCTACTCCGTATCGGCACAACAATTGCCATTGCCATTGTCAGCCTTCAGCGACGCCTGTCCCGATGGGTCAGAAGCAATTGCATACCCGTCGCACCTCTTCACAAGTGGAGCTGGTATTCAAGACGGAAACATTGGCTGGTCGCGTAGCCCACTCAGGAGATTGACATTGTTGATCCGCGCTTGCCCCCATTCACGTCTAAACCCTGATCATCTTTGCTTGGAGGGACCACACCGCTCCCTCTTCCACCTTCTGCCGCCTTGTTTCCCCCGCAGACCTTCCTACTCCTGTTGCACACACGGCCGACGTGCACGACTTTCTTCTTCACCCCATTGCCCATGTCAATGGCTGTTTGTTGCTGAGATTCCGACTGTATACGCTCGCTACGAAAGAGGCTGGTTGAGCGATTCAAGAAGCTCAGACTGCCAACACCAACACGACTAACGAAGCGCCCAACTGCACTCCACGCCTACCACGGCCTTGACGCGCTTGCCCTGAAGCTGGCAACCCGTGGCTGTTGTCTGCGACGCCCAACCAAGACAGCGATACCGTCGCTTCATCGCACACTTGTCCCCACGACCAATTCACATTACAGAGGTAGCCAATCATGGCCGCCAAGGCGACGCTGCCAGCTGGCAATGGCGCGTTGCGAGAGATGCGCACGGCGGAAACTCCAGACATGAGCATGGCCACGGCACCCAAGAGGCGCAAGCCGAAGACCAAGGCGAAGAAGGTCGAGGATGAGGGGCTCATCGCCTCGTTGTGCACCCTCATCTGCGAGCACCAGATTGGTAGGCCATGGGAAAGACATGAAATCGACAAACACTGAAAACTAACTGTCACAGGCATCTCCGTCAACCTGCTCACCCTCCTCACATTAACCCACACCTTCTTCCCCCGCGCCCGAAGTCGGACCTCCAAATTCTTCCACATGTCGTACTATAACCCCGAAACCAACATGTACGGCTGTGGCACCGACGACCTGTCGTTTGTCCTACTATGGACCGTCATATTCACGGGCCTACGGGTAGTAGTCATGGAATACCTGCTGGATCCGTTGGCCAGGCTCGGTGGCATCAGATCGAAGAAGGGACTTGATAGATTCAAGGAGCAGGCATGGCTCGTAGTCTACTACATTGGCTCATGGTCGCTAGGCATGGTACGTTGCATCGCCATGAGTGTTGGGAAGGGTTTGTGCTAACAAACCACAGTATATCATGTACCACTCGGAGTTTTGGCTCAGTCTCCACGGCATTTGGGAAGGCTGGCCCTTTCGTGAGGCCGACGGTCTCTTCAAATGGTACTACCTCGTTCAATGAGCCTTTTGGGTCCAACAGATTCTCGTCGTCAACATCGAGGAGAAGCGCAAGGATTACGTTCAAATGTTCACCCACCATGTCTTCACGATTGCCCTGATGTTTCTATCCTATGGATACTACCACATGCGTGTTGGCATTGTCATTCTCACCATCATGGACTTTGTCGACATCATTCTGCCCGTAAGTTCGTTTGGAAAGACCAAGGTCGCAAAACTGACAGCAACAGACGGCCAAACTCCTCAAGTATACGGGATATTCGAATGCTTGCGACTATGCCTTTGGCGTCTTTGTCCTCTCATGGATAGGCACCCGCCACATTCTATACATGATGGTCTGCTGGTCCATCTACGCCTATGCACCCGTCGATATGGCTCCCGGCTGCTATCTCGCCGACTCGACCTCGAAACTATCCGGCTTCGTTCCCGCATCCAACACCTCACAATTTGAAGCATACGGCGGAAACAATCACTGGGGCAATCTTCTCAAGGCGTACGATGACCGCAACGGGCCCATCTGCTGGAACCCGCAAATTCGATACTATTTCCTCGCTCTCCTACTTGTGCTGCAGGTCTTTTGCTGCATATGGTTCGGTACCATTGCCAAGGTTGTGTATAAAGTACTCAACGGAACTGGTGCCGACGACTTGCGCTCAGATGACGAGTGCGATGAGGAAGAGGTCCAACACGACAAGACCAGGACCATCTTGAACATGGCAACCACGTGCACCGAAAGCGGCATGAGTTCAATGACGCCAAAGGAAGAGGAGGTCGGTGTCGATGCACTCACCTTTGCTCGCATAAACGGCGCCAGCCAGCGACGGCAAGCGAGGAGAGAAAGCTCTCGAGCGAGTGGGATTAGTATTCCCGGACATGGCGATCGCAAGGAGTTATTAGGCCGCATTGGGTGCGACAAGCCTTCATAGAATATGGCTGTCGATTTTCTTGAAAATCTCTTTGGCGTCCCGGGGAGCATGGTCGGAGCGTGTATATCTTCATAGTTGGGTGGGTGTGGGAATCGCCGCGCCTCGGCTATATTGTTTTGTTGGTGCTGTTGTTGGAAATGTATACCCCATAGAAAGCGAGAGTGGAAGGTTTCTCTTCGCTGTTCCTACACTCCTTATGCCTACACATGTTCTGCGCCAAGCCCAATGCGGTACCATCTATAGAGCCATTAGGATTTGCATGACGAATCTCACTCTAGATATTTTCTCCTACGCGGCTTCCTCGGCATTTCCTAGTGCAATAGCGGGGCACCTTCTTGGAGCTACTAATCCTCTCGCCTTGGTATTTCATCCATTTATGTTAATCAAGGAAATCTGGACGTCGCCATACTTTTGCGTCAATTGTTTTCGCTTGTTTACAGGGAAAGTAGATGATATTCCTTGTCCCAGAGGTTCAACAATCCGAATCCACATCACACGTATAAACCCAGACGAATTCTCGCAAACCCTTTCCCAGTATCCGCTCCACATCCACAACACCAATTCTCTCAATCACAGAATTTCATACAAGAGACATCAACCATGAACACAAACACCGACGAGTCACCTCTACCCACACCCCCCTTCCACACCCTCCCAAACATTCACAACCTACGCGATGCCGCCCTCTCCGTCACAATCTCCACCGGCGCCTCCCTCCGCCCCAACATCCTCTTCCGCAGCGCCGACGTATCAAAACTCGATATTGGCGATTGGAAAGCCTTGAATAAGCTCGGCGTAGCACACGTCTTTGACCTACGCTCCAAGCCCGAAATTGACAAGACTCTCGTCGTCACCAGTACCGAGGACAAGACATGGATAGAAAAAATGCAACAAGCAGGCGTAACCCGAACCTGGACTCCGATATTCTCTGAGCATGACTATTCGCCCGAAAAAATCGCTGTGCGGTTCGCGAAATACATGGAGGAAGATGTGCGTGGTTTCGTTGAAGCTTATACGAGTATATTAAATGAAGCCGGTCCTGCGTTTGGTGTTATATTCCGGTATCTCGCCGACCTACCTGCTCCAGGCTCTACCGGGGATAGCGAAGGGGAGAAATTGGGTGCGCTGGTTCATTGCACAGCTGGTAAAGACCGCACGGGACTGTTTTACGCGGTACTATTTGCGTTTCTTGATGTCCCTGCTGAGCAAATCGCGGTAGAGTACAATCTCACGGAGCTGGGATTACGGTCGATAAGGGAGGGGAAGGTTGAGCTGATAATGCAGAGTTTAGCGTTTCAATCGTATATGAAGGCGCAGATGGCGGCGGCGGGTGATGCTGCAGACGGAGAAGAGTTTTCGCCAGAGGTTTTGGAGATGGGGAGGCAGGCTGCGCTGCGGATGTTTGGGGCAAGGAGGGAGAGTATGATGGGGACTTTGGATGTTTTGAACAAAGAATTTGGGGGCGCGAGGGAGTATATGAAGACGAGGTGTGGGTTAGATGATGGAGTTTTGGAGAGGTTGAGGAGGAATTTGGTGGTGGGGGGTGGGAAGGGCATAGGTGCGAAGGTGTAGGTTGGTAGGGGAGGATGTGTGAGACTGGCTTCTAGAAGTCATCTACGCGTAGGCATGTCAGCCCCCGCAATCAGCACAGGATCAAATGCACATACAGCCGATCCTATCTCCTTCAGATTCACACATCACTGACATCCTCTCACCTTCTCTATCTACCCCATGAAGACAATCTACCTCCACACCTCACGCCTCTCCATCTCGCATCCCAACCACACCCCCCATGCGCGACCAAGTCCGTTCACACCCACCTCCCTCCCTCCCATTGGCGGCATCCACCACTAGCGCCATCGGCTCCGATCGGCGTGGGCCCCCCAGTACACACGAAGTAAGCCCGGCATGCACACCAGCAGCCCACACAGTAGATAATCGCGGGGTTCGGGCGATAACGCCAGGTACACACGCTTATCGCTAAGAACAAGTGCAAAAAGACGGGTCAAGGATACATACATACATACATGTGCGCAGGGGGCCATCTTTATGTAGTTTTGAAGTTTGAATTCCAATTTCACTTTTTTCAGCTTTTGCACAACGGCCTTGTTCTCGCCGCAACACAATGGCGGATGTTACTGGTACTGGCACCGCTGCTGCGGTCAAGGTGCATGAGGATGACATGAACGATGTTGATGGTCCTCCCCACGATGTTCAATACAGCACGTTACGTCGCGTACCCGACCGCATTCCGTGGGTTGTGTTGCTCATTCTGATTGTTGAGCTGGGTGAACGATTTACGTATTTTGGACTCAGTGCGCCGATTCAGAATTATATAAAGTACGTTTTGCTATTACACATGGTTGCGTCCATGGTCAATACGACAAGAACTGACGACTGATTTAGAAACCCACCACACTCCGACCTCCCCGGTGCCCTCGGTCGCGGCCAAGCCGTCGCCACTGCTCTGGGCAACTTTTTCAAATTCTGGGCCTACGCCTCCACCGTCATTGGCGCTATCATCGCGGATCAGTATCTCGGTCGGTTCAAGACAATTGCTTTAGCATGTGGTGTTTATATCGTTGGCCTCGTTATTCTGGTCGCTACATCGACGCCTGTGGGGGTGTCGTCAGGAGCTGGGTTTGGCGGCTTGGTTGCGGCCATGACGGTGATTGGGTTGGGTACCGGCAGTATCAAGGCGAATGTTACACCCATGTGCGCCGAACAGTATAAGCCTGATGCTGCATACACGAAGAAGTTGGCGACGGGGGAGTGGGTGATTGTGGATCCCGAACTGACGGTTGAACGCATGTTCAATTGGTTTTACTGGGCTGTTAATGTTGGCGCGCTTTCGCCGTTGATTACGGTGAATGTCGAGGCTCATGTGGGGTTTTGGGTGGCGTATTTGATCCCCTTGGTGTAAGTTAGCCTCTCGTGTTTGACTACTCCGTTGAAGATACTGACATTCATAGGGTTATCGTTATTGGTGCTACTGTCTTTATCCTCAGCAGTAGGCTCTTCATCAAGACACCGCCTCATGGCTCGGCTGTTATTGATGCAGTTCGCATTGTGACGATTGCCATCAAAGAAGGTGGTTTCGAAAAGGCCAAGCCGAGTGCTTTGGAGGCCCAGGGAACATTGTCGCGTCATCGCTTTGCGCAGTCGCCCAACTACACCGACAAGTCTGTAAAAGAAGTGCAGTCCGGCATCACTGCGTGCAAGGTATGTTCGAATCCAGCTCATGGCTTCACCCAGCTCACCCACCCTTAGTTCTTCCTTTTCCTTCCCCTGTACTTTGTCTGCTGGATCCAGATTTGGAACAATCTCATCTCGCAGGCTGGAGATATGGCTCTGCACGGAACGCCAAACGATCTCTTACAGAATCTTGATCCAATCGCCTTGATCATCTTCATCCCGCTACTAGACTGTGAGTTCCCAAATGATAACATCCAGAGCCATATACTGACAATATCTGAAGTCGTAATCTATCCCCTGCTTCGCAAGTACAAGATCAACTTCAGCCCGGTCCTGAGGATGACAGCTGGTTTCATCATGGCGTCCATTGCAATGGCGTATGCAAGCGTACTCCAGCATTACATCTACAAATCGCCACCAAAAAGCATCCACGTTTGGATCCAAGCGCCGGCTTACATCCTCGTCGCGTTTTCTGAAGCCTTTGTCATCATTACCGGGTTGGAGTTGGCGTACACAAAGGCACCCACAAGGTATATTGTGCCGATCAAACACAACGCCTCAATTATACTGACGTATGGCAGTCTTCGCTCCCTTGTTTCAGCTTTATTCTGGCTGACCATTGGCATCGCCGCCGCGATTTGCATTGCCCTTGCACCCGTATCACAGGATCCGTATCTGGTATGGATGTATGGCTCCCTTGCAATTGTCGGCTTTGTCGCAGGGTGTGCATTGTATATCTGCTTCCGAAAATCTTTCGGGGAGGTGCCGGTAATTGTGGGCACTGCAACGGGAAATGATGTTGGTGTGAGCGAGGTGACCGAGCACGCGGGGAAGCTTGCTGTCGATGAGGAAGATCAGTGGCGCAAGTAGTTTAACTCATCATCTCAGCTTCCTTTTTATGGTTGAGTGTCCAAGAAAAGCAATCTTTCCTAAGAATAGACATTGCCAGCTTGCATGTTCATTACTCCTGACGTCTCTTGCAATCTTGTCGTCAAAACATTATCTAAACCTTTCCAGAAGATCGCGTCGATGCGTAGCAGCGAAAATCGCAAAATTTCGAGCGATTTGCATTGTAATCTCACCGCTCGCCGGGCACGGTCGAGAAGAACTCGGCACTCTTGTGCCTCTTCTGGGCTCTCTGATGTCACGTGAAGTAAAAGGGCAAGGTTGCACAGCGTAGACCAGCCTAGCGTACACCCTTTATCATGGGGTTAGCAATGAAATCTCCACTCGCCAAGTTTTACATACAAAAAGGCCAAAACCCGTGAATCCAACTGCTTTCGAGATTGGACGTAAAGGCTACAAAGCTCGCGACGCATGCTTTTGCTCCAGCTCGCGAAAGTCGACGTGCTTCAAGCTCACGGCGCTCGTGAGTGGAACTTGAGGTATCTACGTTACTTCTCAAAGCGTTAAAGGGCCGGAGAATTGCTCGGAAGAGAAGGACTTTGACGATATGGCCGCCGAGAAGCAATGGACCTGATAAATTGATGTCCTCATCTTTAGAGTCGCAATGGATATCAGAAGCAGCGCTGGACCAACGATTCAACTCTTCCACTAGTGTTTGTGCCTTGCGTAAGGTGCTTTCATAGTCCCTTGCGAGGACTTGCACTGCTTTCAGAGTGCTACAGATGTCAGTCATTCATGCGTGACGAGGCGGTGGACGGGGAAAGAGTTACAATAGTGTCTTCAAAGCTGTATGTAAAATGATGGTAAGCTTGTACATGTGGATAAAGTGCGCGGGGAAAGGTGTCTGGCTCTCATGCGAAAAGTCGTCTAGGCATGGTTCCGGAACGAGCCAATCGTCATCGTGTATAAGACAACTCCGGCCTAGCACCGCGGCATGCCAAACGTCTACCATCTTGACAGCCCACGATAATCGTTTCCGTAGTTCAATTTCTGTCGAGTGAATGTACCAATGGGTAGGATCGAAGTGCAAGCCTAGTGTCTGCGAGACAGTCACCATAGTGCCTACAAGGGACCATTTGGTTGCATAATCTGGCATTAGTGGCTTGTGTGGTGGTGCAACAAGTAGCAGGATCAAAGTTTGCAGCGTAGAGAGGTCTGCCTTGTGCAACTCCCTATGCACCGCATCCGAAGCAAGGTCCCATAATTTTTCTGCGTCAGGGAGATCGTATGCTATTTGAACGGATAGATAGTCGTCAAAGCCAGCAAACGGCAGGGTAATTAGATATAGTGCGGCAAGAAGGGAAGGATTCGATCGCTCCGGCTCTACTGAATGCGCTGGAGGAAGTATTGGAATGTGTGGGTATACGAATTGAAAGAATCTACAAAAGTCAGCTCAAATGTGACAGAAAGTACTATTGATCTTGAGACTTCATACAAAGAGATCAACCTGACACCAACATCGAGACTCACCAGCTCCTCTAGCTGTTGGCGAAAAGTATCGCTGTTCTCGCCACTATTGTCCTCTGTGTCCATAATATTTGAAACTAGCATCTGGACTGGATGAACGTGTTGGGCCATTGAGCGAACAGCTAGCCGCTTGAAGACGAAGTTATTGTCCGGACCAAAATTGTATCTCTGCATGAGGTAAGGGTCCATGTCCCCGGTGAGACCGCACAATACGCTTGTCGTCTCGTTTCCTAGTGCCGTGGGGGATGGAAGGCCAAGATGACCCACAGACGTATCGTTGGGTGATGTGTCAATGTGGTTGAACGCCTGCACATCCATATCAATCATGGCCTGATCCAGCCAAAACCCGGCTGATGGGTCTGGCAATTCGCCTGGCAGAATATAGCCCTGCTGGTCGAAGAAGGCATTGCCAGAATTGAGACTGTCGTTATGCTGGTTTGTTACGTCGGAGTTGGCTGGCTCCTGTGTCGAGTTCTTTGGCGATATATGCGCCGCGGATGCAGCAGGCGCGCGTGTGTTCCTGGATGCAGCCTCGAAGGTGCATTCGCGCCGCGAAAGATGACATAGCCGGCATGGTGGCGCAGTATCGATGCGGCATGCACTCTTCCGCGCCCTACAATTATCGCATGCTCGCTGCGACTTGCTCATATATTTTCGCATGTTGTGTGGTCAAGAAGAGGGGCGATGGTGAGGGTTGTCATCCGCGGCGTTATCGGATGACATTAGTTAGTTAGGCTGCCTGGGCCGCCCAGGCGTTCGCCATTTACGCACTAACGCGTCTTGCAAGACTCGTCCTTTCTTCCTTTCCTCTACCCAAGCAACATCACGACGTCGCAACTAGGTCTAGATTCAGATCTTGTTTGGTTTTCAGGGCCTTTTTTGCAAAACGAACACGCGCACAGATGCAGCATCGTGGGTGCCGAACTCTACTGCACACACACGAGGCATTCATCTTTCCCAGATCGGCCATCTGGTCATCTATACAGTGGCCAGCCTCCACTAATAATTCAAAAAACTCTACATCAATGCGCGCTCGAAGCCATCCGTACCTTTCGCAACCCCTTGTCGACCGTCACTATTCCAAAGGCCGTGTGCCTGCCGCAAAACCCTACAAGTATCCCTGATGTATTCATGTCCTTTACTCAACCCCCTCTCCGGATGTATATAGTGTCCAAAAGCGTGCGGCATCCCCGAGTAGCATTTCTGAGTTACACGATTTCCACTCTTCGACAGTAAATCGCCATATCGATGCGCTTCATCTCGACATATATCGAATTCGGCTGTGATGATATGGGTTGGCGGCAGTCTATCAAACGACCTCGCCAGTATTGGCGAAGCTACCCAATCTTCGCATGCCTCTTTTCTAATGTCTATTGCATATTAGTACGCTGAGTTTTATCAGAAAGACGATGAGCATTTACCAGCCGGGATCCAATAGTCCAAGAACCATTGCTCCCTTTTCAGGCCGCCCCACGGTGCATCTTTGTATAGCGCTGTGCTGGGGTACAGCCTGGCAACGTTGGATCGCACAGGCTCCTCAGCGATGAGCCACCTGAAATCAGTTGAAGGCACAACTAACAGCGCCAGCCTGAGGTCTATTCCGGCATCACGCGCCATATGCGAGAGAACAGCTGACATGTGACCGCCCGCAGACAAACCACCAATGGACACGCTACTTGCATCGACATTCAACTCCGCTGCATGAGTGATGACCCATTGGAGCGCATCCCACGAGTCGTAGATGGCTGCGGGGAACACAAATTCAGGAGCGAGGCGGTAATCCACGTCAACGATTACGATGTCAGTGTTGTTGCAAACGCTTCGGCACCATGCAGCTTCACTATGGAGTCCACCCAGAACCCATCCACCTGTTTTAATGTCAGTATGGTCGAGTGTAAGCGTTGAAGTCACTTGCCCCCATGATAATTCAGATGCACTGGAAAAGGCCCCCGGCCCTCCGGCGTATACACACGTATTCTGATTTGGCCTGCAGGCCGAGTAACAGGGATCTCAATCTCATCTTCCTTGAACACAGACGGGCCTGGTCACTGTCAGTAGCCAACTCGTAAGGGACATATGGCTATGCTCACCGGACCATGTTGGGTATGTGAAGCTGTATGACAGAGGCTTTCGACGGACTTCCTCAATGGGGACTTCTTCAGCCTGACGGTGGCGTCCTCCGTGTGTGTTCCAGACTTGGACCCATTCCGGATCAAGCCTTGCCAGCCATTGCTCCGGAGCCTGATGAGGGATGCCTACAGTTTCGACTGCTGAAGATGGCACTCTCATGGTCATGTCGTCCAAATATCGTATACTTTCCAGGTAATGGAATTGATGATGGCGATCCGAAGAAGATTACTTCTTGTGTAGCAGGCACTCCAAGCGGTAGACGCCCGAGTGAATTCCTACCGGTTTGTACCTTGCCATTTTGACGTGTCGAACATGCCTGTCACCGCAGACTGACCATTACTCGTGCAGCAGCGGATCTGATAGGAATGCCAAGACAGGCAGCCGTGCGTCCCTATCAGCATGTCGGGCCGTTTGATAGGAGTTCGCAGGCCAGCTTGAACCTCCTCCGCATGGAACGCTATCATCACAATCTAGAAGCCGGAGCCGTACACCGCAAACTTCGAGATGGAATGTGAGTTGTTAGGCCAAGACTCTGTCGGCACGGAAAACTTGAACGGAAAACTAAACGGGAAAGCCGACGGACATTATCCTACACTAGTTAGGCGCTCGACAAAGTGGCGTGACTAATGTGTACAGCGCAACCGTCGCAAAACACTGTTCTGTGCTTCTGGTGAAGCTTAGTGACCGGTTGGCAGCGTTGATATAACAAGTCCTAGGTACACGAATATTACTCCTTTGAAAGTTCAAGATACAATCGAACTGGACACATCTCAACAAACATGCAAGACTCAATAGTGATCGTCGGGTGCGTTGTTTCATACCAGAGCCACTCGATATGCCCACTGCATACTGACCCAGTCTCAGCGCTGGTGTGATAGGATTGGATGTCGCGCTCATTCTCGCGGAGAACGGTTATAGCCGACACACCACTATTGTCGCGCAACACCTACCAGGAGACACATCCGTCGATTACACCTCGCCTTGGTATGATAAATATCACGCGATCTGTTTGCCAAGAATATGTAGCTAACTCCAACTATAGGGCTGGCGCGAACTTCTCCGCTATATCAGGGAGCGACAAAAATGCCCTCATATGGGATAAAGCTGGTTACAAGCGTCTGATGAAGCTTGCAGCTACCAATAGCCCCGCGGCTGCCATCAAGAAAACGCAATCATTCGAATACTGGGATAAGAAGCCAGCTGAGGAGAAGCTGGAGTCTCTTGCAGACTACCTCGAAGATGTTGGTGTATTTACCAGGATCATCATTGCGGAGCTAACATGGCAGATAGTTTACTGTAATACCCTCGGATAAACTTATACCAGGTGTTGAATATGGCATTTCTTTCACGTCAGTTTCCATCAATGCTCCTCAGCATATCCGATATCTCAAAAGCCAGCTCGAAGAGCAAGGCGTGAAGTTCCTGCGACGTAAGCTGGAGCATCTAGATTCTGCGTTCCTTAGCGAGCACACCAAGGTGGTGTTCAACTGTATAGGGAACGGCGCGCGTCACCTACCCGGTGTTCAGGACCAGAAGTGCTTCCCTGTCAGGGGACAGATTCTGCTTGCACGAGCACCGCAAATTGGCCAGAACATCATGCGTCATGGCAAAGACTATGAAACATATATCATCCCACGGCCCCATTCCAAAGGTAATGTGGTTCTTGGGGGGTACATGCAGAAGAATAACGGGTGGGTAAACGTATCAGCTTTGTGACGATTGGATTGGAACTGACTTTACTCAGCACCGGCGATACCTTCGCCCACGAGTCGGAATCAATCTGGAAGCGGACTACAGGACTGGTACCCGCTTTGGACATTCCCGAAACAGAGATTCTAGCGGCTTTTGCGGGGCTTCGGCCTGGTAGACTGGGAGGCGCACGCATTGAGAAAGAGGCGCGAAGTGATGGCCGTATTGTTGTGCACAATTACGGAGCGGGAGGGACAGGGTATCAGGCTGGATTGGGTATGGCGATGGAAGCTGTGGGGCTTGCGCTTCCGTACTTGAAGGACCTCCCGAACAGTTCGGATATCTTTGTTCCAAACACTGCGGAGAATGCTGCGATTAGAGCGAAGTTGTAGCGCAACATACCCTACTACCGCAAACCAGCTGTACCTCTTTGCATCGCCAGCTCAGACCTCGTACTGTCCCGCCCCCCCATTGTCTCTCATCTCCCAGCTGGATACTGTGGTAGAGGGATAGTCTCAATAGTCAGAAGAGAGGCTGCCGACCCGCAATCGGTAGAGAGTAGAGAACAAGAAGATATCCGAACAATGAACGGTAGTATTAAGAATGGTGTATGATAAGATGATGTCGAGCTTCTCCTCGCGGAGTTGCCCTAAAATACTCAACCCTAGCACCGATTACCTAATGCCGAACACGTGACAAGCTACTACACCACAATACAAATATGGTATTGAAGCTCAACCAGGCCATGCAAACTTCACTGGGGTCTACTCAGCGTGAGCGGGTTGTTATAAAGCTAGCGACCAGCGCAGTGCAAAACAGCCGGGAAACGATAGAATTCAAACTTGAAATGCTTTGTATTGGAAGCAACGCAAGGTCGAATGGAATGACTGGACTTTGATTGCTTATCCACATAGCTTCTACCCGTGTGCATGGCTAAAGCTCGTTCTCTGTACACGTGTTTCTCTTCCACTTCCCATTTCCTAACGCCATCCAGATACCCTCAGTGACCTTGACCAACGATTGACTGAGCTATATACAGCCCATTCTCGGTTCCTCGATAGCGAGCAAGTCTAAAATTGTTAGAGAAGATTGAGTCGTCTATACGTTTAGAGGAGGGCACCCGGGATCACGAGGTTCGTTTGGATTGCTGCTGCAACGATGGGGAACAAGGGCAGTGGAAGCAGCAGCGGCGATGTGATTACCGCGAGGAAAGTAGCAATAATTGAGGTCCTCATCGTGATTGTAGGGCTAGAAAATATTCGCTGGATTGAAAGACGGTTTGAGTTGATGATAATGATGGGTTGAGGGGAGAATTGAGGGGTTATATACTGTAGTATTCTATCAGCATCCTCAGATCTATCAGCGCCATTGTTGGTATATTACGCCGACATATATCCCCATTATTCTGGTGTCTCGCGCGATAGCCTACAATAGTTCGGCCTTTGCAATGACAACGCGGGTACATGAAGTTTCGATATTGAATTCCGTCTCATACCACCTTTTTTATTATGTGATCTTGTACAGTTGTTGGACTAAGACACTTCGTAACAGAACCTCTGACTACTGCGCACATCCGCATACTGCTATGTGGACATGTAGATTAAGTTTCGTCTGTATTATCAAGGAGTTTTCATGTTGAATATAATTCTTTGGGTTTGCGCGTGGATCATGCAATACGAGGCCGGCGTTATGGTTCTTGTTCTAAGTGGATTCAATGATTGCATGAGCTGATGTCCCGCCTTGTGGAAATTTTCCAACATGCACGTTACTGATGACATACCATCCGGGTAAAGTTGGGGCTGTTCTGGGCCCAAAAAGAATGATCAATGTAAGCCTGACGTCAGAAGGAGTCTACAAGACGCTGCTGAAATGTTCTGTGTGCTTATGCCCGGTCTTGTCCAGTGCGGAACGCATTGATAGTTGGTGGTGTTGTTGCAAAAATAACTATGAGCAGAACGTGCGGTATGCTTCAAGAATACTTCCTGCTGTAATGTTGGACTGTATCACTTCTTCAATGGTTATATATATTACAGTCAGTCTCGACCTTTCTGCCATCGGGTACGGTGACGCGGACTATCTGGCCTTGGGCATCGCAGACACAGCATATGGACTCGATATGATCCGCCGCTGCAGACCTCAATTACCGTGGTTCCGGAGAATATGACATATCTAGTATCGAGATGTTCAGTCGTGTGCACCCAACAGCTCACCACCAACTCACTATCGCTCCTGTCTACGGTGTATACCCTCAGACGCTACAAATACTGCACCACACTAGTTTACCAATGTTTTTTTTGTCGAGTTTTGTCAAGTATCTTCAATTTAGCCAGTGGAATCAGTCAATTCTCACTGTAACAGGACCTTTCTGAGAGGGGGTATATTCAGTCCTTCTTTACTTTGGTCCGGAAGAACACGAATTCCAATCTGACTCAATTCACATGCGCCCACAGCAAGAGTAATACGGCGTATCATAGTAGAGTCTTAAATGCAGTCAGACGATTAGAAAGGTTCTTGTTAGCTTTCCCTCGTACGATCAATTCATTGCACTTGTGGCTGTACATACGTGACAAGATGATGTTTGAAGGAATGAAAGGGGACATATTGATACAAGAAATCCAAGCAAAGATGAGAATTCACAAGCATAGTCAGGAAGAATAGAGTCAACCTCTCGTGATGCTTTTTGGGAGACATGTTCCGTTGGCGCGATCAAGATGCGGGGGATGTACTGAACAGTGGCATGGCACAGACCATCATCGTGAAGATTGGCCGGTCGGATGTCGCAGTCAGGCACCGATAGGTCAAGAAATTACACGTGAAGAAAGTGGTTCTACTGATATTTGTCTGGTCTTGGGTAGATAAATACTGGAGAAACCTAGCGACTAGATACGCGTGAAACTCATGTCATTCTTAATCCTTATTCTGAGTTACTCTCTAAAGTCTCCACAGGTCCAAGGATATCAAATTCAACATCACGGTCATCCAGAGGGGTCTCTCATAAAACTTGATGTCGAACCATGTTGCGTTGCAGCAGAATGCCACGTCGAATCGATGCAGACTCGTGTGTGGCCTATGCCATCACCGCATGATGCTCTCGGTGATTGAGCTGCTGCGGGCACTTCTATATGGACTCCTCTAGGTCCATATAGATTCCGCCTATGAAAAGTGGTGATGGACACAAAGACTAAGGCTGGTGCACTGGGTAGGTCTAAGATGTGGGTATTCTTGGTTGAGGGTAAAGCTGATTGCGGCTCTGTACCAGTAGTCGACTCCAACACTTCCCGAGAGACGTGATCGAATATCCACGCCAGCTGAGCCCGACTCCTACAGGAAACCATTTGCTAAATCCGTGATAAGTTGTACATCTTGCATACAGCATGCATGAGCATGCGATTTCGCTTGACTTGAGCGACGACTTGGGCGCGTGCTCACCTGCATGGCTGTTGTTTGACCTCAGCTACACTGTAAAGCACTTCAGTGATGACTCTCGAAGTCGGTATGATTCTTGGATCCTGCCAATGAATCGGCGGATGGCTATCATGATGACTCCTTGATGCTGCGGACACCTAGATGGCACTACTCTCAGGCACTACTCATTGGGTACATGCGCTAGATTCGCTACCGATCATATAGCAACATGCACCCAGTAGATCTGTGGTGCGACGGCTGATAGAGATGGATGTATGGTTTGTTCCACCACTAAGTGGATATTGAAATAGACGACACCTGATCAAAACTGCATATGTGTAGTGCGCCACTCTGATCGGTCAAAGGGAAGATACATGGAGGTGACTATCGGACTCAATTGCCTAAACACAGTTGTAACTTGAAATCAGGCTTTCTGCACAACTTGCCTACCAATAAACCATCTAGGCGGTATACCACCTACGCATACATTGGGCTCATGACGTTGTACATTGTGTGCGTGATGCAGCCGAACGGCGCCTAGTGGTGGTTCAGGAGTCTGGGACGGGTGGTGGTGGGGGGCTGCACGGCATCCCGACATGCGGCACCAAGGTGTCTTCCCGGCGCGAGACCGTTGGACACTCGGATGACCAGGGTGTTCGGAAAGGACCGAGCCGGTACAGACAAGCCCGATAACTACAACTGTTGTTGCTCGCTATATCAAAGCTGCCACAAACAGTACAGTTGATCAAGGAATCAACGATACCTAGTTAGTTATGGAGTATGGTTTGGTCGTTTCAGCTCGCCAAATCGGCGCGATTATGCCGAAACTAGCAATCATCAGCTTCAGCTACATATGCGACGCAGTGCTTTGATGTATACTGATTGGCCGATCGTGACTTACTAGAGTTGTTGCCAATCAAAAACGCCACGCGGAGTATACTCCCTACGCAAATCAAACACTTCCCGCTCAAGAGTTAAACCCAAGGTCGCCGCTTTTACGATAGTGATGGTATCAGCCATCTCACGATCCCTCGTCATAGCCACTGCAGGAGACGTCACTAGGAGCCTTCGTACCGGAACCGAGTATTATGGCAGTGGTATCATGAGAAGGACTAAAGTACGCGATTGCCGCGTCTTTGGGTATTCAGCCTGTGTACAGCGCATATTTGGGCACGCCTGCATAGGATGTATTGCTGCCTCGGCAATTCTATGCTGGCATCCACCCATTCGCTTCCTTCTTACCCTGGCTTACCAGCTTTTGATCCTTTCCCCGAGGTCATATATGCGACCAGTGATACGTGGCTAAGTATGACATAGATACCGCTCTGATATAGTGGCGCAGTGTACGTAGTATGCATCTGAAACGGATTTCTCGCATTCTTGTTGATTTCCGCCCGAGTCGGCCAGTCGCTTTTTAAGCACTTTGGCCCCATACAACGCGACTGCTCCAATATGTAGTAGCCCAATGGTATCAAGGCGGTGGTCAGCCATAGTTTCATATTCGATTGGTAGATAAGGCAGGCTTCTCCTGAACGGCGGGATGTGGCTTAATCCGAGCGGTGCGCGCCTTCAAGCGCGGGGCGCCTCACTGCCCAGCTACTTCACAGTCTCACCGGTGCCCTAGGTATGATGGATTCCGTATGTGACAAAAGATGCATCAGACTAACGCGAAATCATTTTTTCGCCACTGAAACAAACCTTAACTGAACTTCATACCTTCAGAGATTTTGAGAATATAACGGAAGTTTAGGAAGAGAGAGTGCGTGGACTGACCGGAGAGTGGATATGGATGTGACGCGGGGTCGTGCAGAAAAAGGAAGCCCCATGTCGTTTCTGCCATGGGGCGCAAGTCGTGCAGGTGAGTGTGCTGCCTTGGTATCTTCATGTGAGCTCTCTGACTGTGCTGCCTTCTTTTTCTATCATCTGTCCCAGTCCAAATCCCCGGGTAATACAGCCATCATGATCACCGAGTCGAGAATTTTTATTATTGTAACCTGGATCAAAGTATATCTTTGGCTACAAATTTTGGAGGCATGAGTCGCTGCACGGATTCAGGTGAAGCGGTGAAGCGGGGCAGCCGACAGCTACCCGCGTTTTTGTGGGACTAACTACTGTAGTAACTCGCTGGAGGTCTGCATCTACTAATGGAGGTATACCGAAGAGCCTGGTTGGTGTTACTATTGCGCCTCCGATACATCAGAGATCGCGATCGACGCGAGACGGTATTGACGCCTGTATGCAAGATGAAACGCGAATCAAGATGCTAAAAGGCTATGGTGTCTCTATTCACATATGATGACCATGGCTTGTGTGGAAGTTCGCAGAAATTACCGATGGTGGCACAGATGCAGTAGTATCTCCCCTATCTTGCATGCTTAATTTGACATCAGCTCGGGCTGAAATAGATGCGCAGTAGTAGCAGTCGATAGTGGCTGGCTTAGGTTTTAGTCATGAAGGACCAACCAGCAGCATAGTGTGACACGATGTCATTGCAACGAACAAGAGTGCAGATCGTAAAAGTATTGCTTTCATTCAAAGACTCCGCGTTGTCCAGTCGCATGCTGTAATTACTGTAGATCGTATCTGTGCGAGGCTGGAATTGTGAGCAACCACTGATCCAAACACACTACACGTGTTTCCTCCTCTTCTTCCCTAGGTCTCGCAATGACCATCGTTAACCAGTCTTTATCCGAATATGTGACTGTAACCATGTTAAGCAAATCCCAGATCGTAGAGAATGTGAAGGGATTCGCGGAAATAACCAATAACAGTTCGAAAATTAAGACAAAGGTGAGTATCCAGAACTCCGTTAGGAAAATTTCCAGGGTCAACACCAAAACAACATTTTCCACTGTAGTGTGGAGAGCTTCTCGTTGGAAAGAAGTTAATCAGTTCTGAGAGGCAAGTAGGTTTTCATTGATTCTTTCGTAGTAGCTGTTTGATCCATAGAAAAGGGGGTCTTCCTTTGGTCCATTTGCTCAATTGACTCATGTCCCCGATAGTGTGTCGAGGGAAATACGGGCTCCGTTTCAGAAGATTGGCCCTGTTCTCTTCTGCTTCTACATCAACAGGAGACGAGGACTGTTGATCAGAGTCCGCATCCGTGAAAATCCGATCTGGTCTGCCTTTGTGTTGCGAGATTACTTGGTTGTCTGAGCGCTTCATATTTATCGGAGCGTTTGAAGTTTCTCCAGAATCGGTTGAAATGTGTAGCGACTCGGCTGGTGGCCCGTGGTCGGCATCTCCGAGTTCCAATAAGTGAGGTATGCCGATTTTCTCGTCCTGTAATTCTACACCTTGTTGAAACTGTGTCCCTACACTGTTCACAATCTGCCCACTCTCTGATAAATCTTTTCCCCAGGGATATTCGGCCCAGCTGCTAGGTAGATATAAGGTGTGCGGATAAGCCTTTCGCAAACAGGAATGTTTTAGCAAGTCCGAGTGCCACCAATCTAGATCTTTATTGGCTTTTGAATCGCTTGAATGATCTTTCTGAGAGACTTCATGTTCAGTGGCTCGGCTGATTGAAGGCTGGCGCGCTATTTCACCGCTGACAGGAGCATCCGACTCAATGGGGTTGTCGTCAAGGTCGTCCAGCAAGTTATCAATGAGCTTTGCTTCTCTTGATTCGTATTTGATCTCTTGGACATCAAAACCGTTTTCGGCTGCCTCGTAATCCGCCTCACGTGAGCCGAGAAGATCTCTTATGTCGTCGACTTCCTGGATAGCTTTCTCAATATAGTCAGGTAAAGCAGATCCTTCTTCCTGAAGAAACCGACGCAATTGTAATAGAGCGGAACCTTCTTTCTCGCCAAGCTCCTGCCGTATGTTCCGAAGTCTTCTTCTTTCCAACTGTAGGCGGAACCGGGAGCCTTTCAGATCTAGCCTTCCGTCTCTCACTCCTTCGTATTGATCTTCAAGTTGAGCTAAGTTTTGGTGTTTATTTTTCGGATATTTCGAGTAGGGCTGTGTTGTTGACACAACAGTCGTAGGCGAAATGGTGAAAGGTGGCGGAGGAGGAGGAGGGGGCGGTGGAGGTGGTGGAGGAGGGAGTCCAACGAGTCGCAAGGGGCGGACATCAGGGTCCAAATCGAACTCTGGATACTCCATCTTGCTGTCTCTGTATCTGCCTTCACCCTGATGGCCAAGGGTAGATGGTGGTGTCACTGGTCGTTGGTAATCGAAGTCCGACACTCTCGGTCCCCACGGAGGTACAATCCGGGCCTCTGTTTGTTGTGACATCTTGAAATGCTGGTGTCACCACCGACGTGTCAGTTTCGTCAAGACAGCATTTATCGTTTCTTCTGCACGCCAACGCATGTACCCTTTTCAACTGTGTTTTGCTTATTTTAGCACTTAACCCATCTTTACTTCTAGTCGTTCTCTTTTGGTCCGCAAAACTGAGGAGAGATTACTGGTGTCATAAGAACGATGTGGTAATCCGGGCAGGAGGTCGTGTTTTGCAGAAGGCTTCGGGTGATAAAGCGACGGGGGTGGACGAATGCGGCAGCAAGGGCGGCTAACTCGACACACCTCAGAGCCCAACCACAAAAGCATAAGCCCATCTAGTCGCCTTGATCGCTGCGCCGTCATGCTGCGATATGGGGGAATTGAAGCGATATGCAGCGACCGGAGCAGAACACGAAAACGACCTAGTGACACACCCTGGTTTCCACCGCTGCTGTAAGTTAGGCCCCGCTCTCTCCCACCTCCCACATGAGCGTACAGTAACGCATCACGCTCCCCCACCACTTCAACAGAGGTGTGGCATCGGCAGTATGGCTATAATGGTAGATGAGATCCGCTGTTCATTTATCCTGGCACCATGCGGCTCTGCTGCATGTCTGAGTACTGTTATTTGTGCATAAATGCATGTATGGTCGTGTAGTTAGCCCGAGCTTGCCAGTAGTCGCAAACAGCGTGTTGTATGCACGTACCTTCAACAGGCATGGCAACACAACCACAGCAGTTTTGGAGTGAAGCAGATAGGCGCTGGCTCAGAACTCAGATTGACGCGCAGTATCGGCGTTTTCACGAATATTATGACACAGGTAAGGACTGTTCCGATTAGTATCCCATCACTACTAAGATGTGTTCAGAGCAACGGCAATGGGTATTTTTCAGATGGGTAGAGCGCGCGGACTCTCCTTCAGCGCAGCAAGCCGGACCAGCGGGCTACCCTAGGGGTGAAGGCCCAAGGGTGGAGGGGACTTACAATCTTCTGAATCCGGTACCAAACAGTAATTACGAGAGATTGGACACATGTAAGGATCCAGAAGCCATGCGCATTCAGAAAGTCGGCTAAATTGCAAAAGCGTACTATGTCAGACACAGGGACTTTTTCCAGCCAGGCAAGGTACTGTGGCTAGAGCTCATGATTTCTACGCGCGAAGCTAATCAAATGGAGGTAGGTATTTTCGGTGCTATTCACCGAGGGAGCCGGGTCTAACACGTCCGTACACAATTACAAGAGAGACGCCATCACAGTCGTAATGTTTGGAGAGATGGCGCATACACAGATCCGTCGGTTCATCGTCGTCCATCAGAAGCGCGAATTTTGCTACGCCCTGTAAGTCCCCTAAACTCCTGCCATCTCTGAAGCCGTCCTAATGTTCCCCCAGACCCATTTTCACGTATGGAAAACAAGGCACAAGGAAACCTGGTGTTGTGCCCAGTGAGCATGCGATTGCGCACTCGTACGGCTATCAAGCTACTCTACTCCCAGGCGAAGCAGAACTTGAAAAAGATCCTATTTGTATTGTATCACCTGATGGTGCCCCTTTATCGACCGCTTCCCGGATCTACTTTGGAATTCACCATCCGATCCAGTACAATGTCAAAGTGAAAGACCTAGGGTACGTTGTACCTGCTGACGTCTCCAAATTCACCCAGTACTGGGCCATGGAAAATGGAACCCTCACCAATCAGGGACCGGAAGCTGGACAGTAAGAGGAAGAGTCTCTGCAACTTATCTAGCAGACAATCTGGATGCCAGGGTTGCTCGTTGATTTCATACTTGTGTTTGCCAATTTGAATGCCGGTTTTGTTATACGCTGCTTACTGAGCTATGCCACGAGCATGGTCGTCGTCTTGCTTTACGTCTTTTACTAATTTAACATACGTTGCGTTTTGGATTTTTGGTATCTAGGGTTACTTTGGCTGCAATTTTTTATATGATGATGTCGAATTTGCTCCGTTCACCTTATCCGTTAGCTCTATACTCTCTGTTATTATACAGTCACTATTCTATCCTATGACAATACCGAATATCTGACTGTTGTCACAATTCTGATTAATTCGTCGCCTGCGTTAGTAGATATTTCTCTACAAACGCCCGTGCTGTCGTGTACTGACGAGTCGTTTCAGAGATATTGTTGATGTTGTTCAATGTAGATACCATTGAGCACCGTAAGGCAGACTTCAAGGCATACTCAGCTTCGCACCAGCCATACGGCGCCACCCCAAGCCACTGAAATGCGCCACACGATGATTCTCCGCGTATCGCTGCAGGAAAGTGGGTCATCGGAAAACAGAGCCGCGTATTTGGGACGACGTTACGCAGCATTTGAGTGACAGGATGAAGTTCATGACTTACAATTGTCACAACCTGTTGAAGAACTATTCGGTTCATATATCTTGGATATGTACATAGATGTATTGGCAAATCATTGTAGTTCAAATCAGATATCTCGCTCTACCGGTATGCCACCAGCCCAGACTAGGCTGAGTTGGGAAGCCGCGAAACGCAACGCGATCAGCCCATTTCCGCCATAGAGTCATGCACTGTTAGCAAAGGTAAAAAGCCACCAATCTACAGATCCCGGACAGTATACGTCAAGGATTAGGTTGATGATACAACTATCACGCTGACAGGCATCCATATATACCCCTGACACGCTGATAAGTCCGTACCCGATACCCAACGACATGCCTCGGGAGCGAAACTCGATATCTTTCAGCTTTCGCGAGCTGGTTGCCATATCTGCCTATACATTTTATTCTTGTTCCAGCGGTATCAGCCTCATATCTCGGCGCGGGCCACTTGAAAAGCAATATCGCTTCACTCGCCTCGACCAACGGTACCATTGGACAATCCAATATTGCCAGCCGCTTTCTCATCTCGCAGTTGAAATTCATACAAGACATAACTGGCTCATTGATCGGTCAGCGGATCTACCCTCTATCACTCTGCGACTGCTTGTAAAGGGGGTGCATGGTTTACCTCACTTCCAACTTGGCCTGCACTATGACCCTGTTTGTTGGAAGCTCCGCGCATCCTAAACACAGTGCATGGAGGCATACCTACCAAGTGCAAGAAGTCGAAAATACGGCAGCGCGCAGTCAGCCGACGTCGAAATCAACCAGTCCGAGATAGCAAAGTGTCCCTGGGCGGTTGGATATGACCTTGGAAAGGGAGTGGGCGTGTAGGTAGGCGCGGGAGTTATCTGCAGATAAGTGGGGCGAGTGGGGTTAGACTACGTAGTTAGCATATTAGAACCAGAACTTCAACGAGGCTGAACCAACAGCACACAATGTTGCCCGGTCACAAGAGCAGTCAATCAGACTGTATCCAGCATTTCGACGCAACGATAAGGCCAAATTGTGCATTGCCCTCTTTGTTCCTACCACCACTCACCACGTCACATTCACACAAGCCGAGCAAACAGGCTTCCAATACATGTTCAGGCGCATCTAGGCACTTTAGGTCCATATAAAGCAAACCCACGGTCTCCGACCATACATGACCACTCATGCATGCATCGGGGACCCGGTTGTGCGGCTTGCCATTCCCCGGCCCGAGACATGATCGCCTGAAACCAACAGCCGAGTGGCTTTCGGAATCGTGCTGATGACATCTGACCAAAGGGCTGTCACGGCATGAGGAGTCAGCAGCTCACTCGTTGACCGCTTTCTGCATATGCGCTCATCGCAGGAGTGGACATGTGGACCATGCAGACCGAGGGACCGGATTAGTCAGAAATCCGACAGGCATGTGATGATACCCGAGGAAGGCTTGCGGGGGAAGACGGCCTGGGAATCTTTTCGCGTCGATTTGGGGCGTTGATAGGTCTGAAAATATGGGCTGTGTAGCGATTTCGAGACGACGTTAGATTGCGTGGTAGCTGATGGCGAGGTAAAGAAAGGGATCGGATTTTTGCGCGAGCGAGACGAGAACCGCCTCTGCGGCCTGGGTGAGCTACTATTCGGTAATAGGGACGTCTTTCTTCAAAGCGATACCTGATATGAATTTGTAGTCATTGCGACATAAGATATTTGAACAATAGTAATACATATGTTAGACAATAGAGAGCCCCGATAGACTGAGGGTAATGGAAAAGAAAAATTCAAAAGTACAACGCCAGTACCACGCATGTTATGCCCTTAGAATGATCAAACTTAATCATATCCAGGAGTGGTCCTACTTCGCTTGAGTTTGTTCCTCGGAAACAGCCCCCATATTCGTCTTGTCCGGCTCATCGTCTCTATCCAGCGGTCAGACACTGACTTGGAGAGGATCTGCATTCGTCTATTGGCCTTCTGAGGTTCATAACCCGTTGTATTGATGGCCGATAGCGGGGCACTGAATGTAGCCTCTTCATGGACATTTGAGATGGGCTTGTATAGGGAGGGCTCCGAGAACGCCCTATCGGTTGGCAACTCTTTCTTTTTTTTACAACTTGATATTGATGTAGGCTTCAACTTCCCAAAATGGAGCGTATGATTGTGGATCTTGGAGCCCGATTGTGTTTCTTGGATGTTCTGAACGCGTGCTAAGTCAGCCTTTTGGCCAGCTTGTTTCTGGTGCTCACTTATGACACTATCCTTCCTTTCTGATTCATTGAAAAGACGAACAAGGAAGGGAGCCGATGGTTTCTTGGTGGCTCCGTGATTTGTATTGAATTCATTGGAATTCGGTGATTTGGGTTTGCCGTTCCTGTTGAGCGACACTCCATCTTCTGGGACAACAGGTTCTAGAGTCCTCTCCGATACGCTATTCACAAGCGGCGAAGGCGGTAATGAAATTAGCCAGGGATAATCCGAATCCGAGAAACTGATCGCGATCGACATGGATTTGCGACCACGTTTTTCGGGATGGCGGTTTTCACAATCTGATGTATCCTGTGGCGACGATAAAGCAGTGTAGCACTGCTTATTGTTTGATACGTCATTCTGAGGATGAACGGTATGGCTCGTGCCATGGATTGAAGGCTCGTAATTTTCAACGAAGTCTCCGGTCTCGCTCAGACTATCGCGGTCCCAGTACTCCTCTGCAATTCCTTGCCAGTCGCTAGCGACTAGGTCAGAAACTCCAAACTCCTCAAGGACGTTTCTATAAGAACACTTCTCGACAGCACTGTCCTTCAGATACTGGAGTGACCACTCTCGGATCTTGGTTTTGGTAGCGGGATCATTTTCTGTGAATGAAGCATCACTTTCAGCATCCGTCCGTGGCATCGCTGTTACGCGTACTGAAGTATCTTCGGGCAATATCCCCGCATCCGACTCTTTTCTGGCCAACGCCGCCGGCTCGTAATGATGATGCGGTCCCATGACTCTGAGTGGCAAAGCTTTCGTCTCGCCAGTGAAAACATGATGTAAAATTCCAAGATGTCTTTTCGTGAACGATGAAGACTTAGCCTCTGATACGTCGTCCATGTCCTCCTCAAACAGTGCCTCGTCTTCTTCGTCCCAGTGGATATTATCTGCTCGCTGTTCTCTCTGTTGATCAAAGTCCACCGTCAAGTCATCGATTTCGGTCATTATCGTGGGGTATACCCGTTGCGATAGGATTGGAGATTGTTTAGTCGCTAGTTTAAGGAACACAGGTGGTGGAGGCGGAGGCGGAGGTGGCGGAGGTGGCGGAGGTAGGTTATGAGTCGCATATGGTCTGTATGATTGAGCCGGATATGTAGGGGGGGGAAAGGGCGGCGGCGGTGGTGGTGGTGGTGGTGGTGGTGGTGGAAACAAGAACAAGGGAGTTCTCTGTCGTTGATCTTGCGGGTGAATGTCGTCGTTCTCGAAGCTTTCAGGGATAATGCTATGAATGTCGAACTGGTAGAATGTATCCTCTTGATCCAGATATTTCCACTCTTCGCCCGTGAGATCACGTTCAGCTTGCAGATAGTCTTCCTCGATTTCTCCAAGATCATCGCGTATCTGTGCGACCGTCTCATAAGCCTCAAATAGAGATAGTGAGAGCACGTCGTCATACTTGTTGACGAACTCTCGCAGACTGCTCATAAACCTCGCTTCTGCATCGCCCGCTTCCACTCGTTTCAGATGGACTTTGCGACCCGCAGTGCGAAGTCTTTCGCGTTTGACTAAGAGCTCTTTTCTTGCTGTCCCTATCTGGACCTGATATTCTGACAGATCATCTAAACTTCGTCGTAGTTGCGTGAGCAGTTGTCTCGCCTGGGTTGTTTGTGCATCGATATACATTCCCACTTGGTTATTCTTCGACTGCTATTCGGACATGAAAATGGTGTTGCGATCGCGCTGGGTTAGAATCGTATGATGCTCTTGGCTCAGTGAAGCTAGTAACATCTTATGATTATCAAGAATGCTCTGTGCAACCCACTAACCTAACAAGCAGTGTCGGGAATTATTCAGATCAGTCAGGTTGCTGATGCGAAATAGCGGCATGCGTGGTGTATCTTAAGGCGCTGCATGTCAGGTAGAACGCGACACAAGGCTTGTTCCAGGCATGGATCGCGGCTTTGTCGTTTGCGCAGTAGTTCGCGGGAAGGAGCCAAAGCCGGCAAGCCGACCATTCATCTGTGTGGGATTGACATGAGAGAAAGCAGCAAATCAAACAGTAGATGCATGTAACCCAACAGCATAGCCATGGCATTGGATTATGATCAGGCTATGTGGCGCGAAACAAGATCCACTCCATTGGGAAGGCGCCCAGGTGCCGCGCCATGCCTGTTTCATTACTGTAGAACCGGTCTAAGACAACATTCGGCTAGAGTCACCAGAACAACCCTCGCACATCCCGACTGCACAACGATAGCAAACAGTGCACATATGCGAGTGAGAGCGGGGTGATTTACAGCAACCTCCCTCCGACATCATGCATCTCACTCTCTCTGTGGTTGGTAATGACAAAGCAGCAGAGCCGCATCGCATCACTTGACTGGAACTTCTAGTTGGTACTTGGAGATATAAGATCGCGGTGATTTACCAATTATGAGACCAAACCGTACCTCCCTACACTTTTTCATCGGCCGTGCTTGTATTGCGTTGTGCACGCCACCATTATACTAGACTCCTTCGATCGCTAGCCCCATCGCCCAGTAGCAACGTGCGACATGTCGAATACCAATTCGCCATGGATTTGGGACGCTACCTATCAAGACTACTACTATGTCACGCGCGACCAGTATGGTAGGTGCCGATGCCTCTTTAGATAGCGTTATCGAGAGCATGCGCTGATTATGGCAGGGAGCCCTGTATACAACTGGTCCAAGTCGCTCGGCAGGACTGACCCGGCCGTTGGTCGAGAGAATGAGATGATAGAGGACGGTATGACAAGCATGTGAGATGAATGCGTTGATTGCGCCTAATGCATCCCTGTTAGTGCCTCTTGAGATTCGCGCGAACCCACGGTTTATTCCAGGTACGCCCCAGACTGGATGGTATGACCTTCTAGATTCATGTAAGTAGAAAGATAGAAGAGAGTGTGACTTAGCTCATCTCTTCCTTACAGCTTACCAAATGAGGAGTGGATCCGACGCTCGGCGGTTCTTCGTAGAGGGCAGAGTTTTTGCTATGCTCTACAGTGAGGCTGCAGGCCAGACAGCGAGACCAGACCCAGGTGATGGGGCTTTTACTGTTGTCCGTTTTGGCGAGTCAGTTCATACCAACATCCGTCGTTTCGTTGTTGTCGAGATTAAACGAGGCTTCGTATATGCCTGGTAAGTATTTGGGAATCAGCCAGCGTTGATAACCAGCTAATGCCCTACTAGTGGTATCGCCACGTACTCTCACCGTGGAACCCTGAAGCCGGGCTGCAACCCAGTCGAACACGCCATCATTTACTTCCGAGGAACAGATCCAAGCTACTCCTATCTGCCGGGCGAAGTTGAAGGCGGCATGACCAAAGCCCCAATTGAGGTTGAACCTGCCGATCCCGCCATGACCCTCAAGACTGATTCTCGCATTCGATTTGGCAAGATCTATCCAATCGAGATGAACGTCAAGGTCAAAGATATCGGCCGTGTGAGCTCGGGCCACCTGAGCCTGTTACGCCAGTATAGGGACGACGAACAGTAAGCAAATGAGTCCCATCTGCACCCATACTTCTATTCCCTGGGAGATTTCTGGTTTATTTTCACACATACGTCGTCAACTCTCCTGCCAAACCTCACGAGATTATCAATCTAACGGCCGCCTGATATCAAATTATACGCTGCGCTTCGGCGCCTTTTACCATTCAGCCAGTTATACAATCATCATCTCCTAAAATTTATTCCAATCAGAAAGCTTCATTGGGATGTGATAGTTTTGAATAGCCCATGGGACCATGACCGGATAACGTCGCTACGTGTATTCATGCTCCCACGACAGTATCGCTTATACGATGGATCATGTAGCCCGTGGAGTATTTCTCGGTCAAGTCCCATGTGGAATGATGCCTAAGCCGTGCACGCATCTATCACTCTCCGAATCGAGGTCGCATGTAATCACGTGGCTGATATTCCGTGGTATTATCCGCATCCCTGTTGGAAATCAGACGAGAACCGGGATTGTTCAGCTTACACTATAATGGAAACGATCGGTGAATGGAAGTTTTTAGAGCCCGAGCCTTCGGGCCGGTCAATTGGCATGTATGATTGCTTTGCCGTGGTGGCATATCACTTCAGCCCGTGCATTGCTTGCCGCATGTGACTACAGCATCGGACTTGTGGTGGCAATGAGTCTTCATGGCTGTATTCGGGTGCTTATACCGACAGAGATATCCAGCCCTTTACTATGTTGCTTTTTGGCCGTTTTGCGGGACCAGTAGCTGTGGTCTCAGCTCCTACTTTGGTCGCTGTCGCTTAAAGACCACTTTTTGTTTTTGTTAAAGGTGCAATTCCACGACATGCAATCATTGCCTGCAGTGTTCAGAAGGCTTGCCATATCGCAGCTCCGTTTCCGAAGGCAGCATGCCATATTGTGATACAGTTTGAAAGTCGCACTCGTAACTGACCTTCTTATCGCGACGACAGTTATGGCTCGTTGGATTGGCCCATTGATTCGATTTACCCACGCCGTGGAAGAGCCCAACCAATGAAGTCTCTCGTGAGACCTACTTCCTTGCACAGTGTTACTGACGGCGGGAACGATCGAGTATATGTCCCGAGCCGCGTCCCACAGGAAGCCGGAACGAAGGACATGCTATGTCGCCGCACACCGGTCAATGTGCGCTTGGTGCTTTATCGAGATCAGAGCAGGCAAACAGTGCCTTTACGTGAGAATAGTCAGAGCGAAGACGTGAATAGCCACACTGAGCAACTGCTGTAGTACGTGGGACTCGTATCGGGGCATAATGACGGTCGCATAGTCGGTCGTTTCGTCCCGAGGCGATGACCTAAATGTGGGTCCATCAGCGCTAACCATTCCCGTACCGTTCGCGTGGACATAACGCAAATTCCGGTTTTGACGCCTTACGCCTTTTCCGCCCCGGAGGACCATTTCAAGGCACTGCACAGTAAGCTGCACTAAGAGCGGTTTCACGGTAAGGATGAAGACGCGTTAGCTTCGGCATGACTAGGTAACGTGGTGAACACATGTTCGCAGTAGCCGCAGGCTGGACGGAGCGGGTTGCAGACGAACATGTGATGTCATGGGTCCCGGCTTCTACTTTCCCAACAACCCTGGAAAGCTCAAGGCAATGGATTTTCAGAGCAGCAAGAACTTCAAAGGCAAGATGTCACTGTGGTCCTTCAATATTCCTGTGCTAGGCTTATCCTTGATTTGCTTTTTAGCGACCCAATGGCGTGTCATGACTTTGCAGGAGTGAGAGAATGTGGCTATCACGTCCGATCCGGATATAGCAGATCCATAAATATGACTTTCTAAGAGAGTTATTGGACCAAATTTCCCCAAGCTTGCAGATTCTAGCAGAAGTCCTGCATGTGTCGAATGCCAGCCTTGGCGATATCAAGCAGGCAACGGCATCCGTCAGTGCCCTGTTTAGACATCAAAAGGAGAGTAGGGCTGTTATTCATTGATATGTAATGGAAGGGGGACTGGAACAAAGGCAAGCAGTCAAAAGCAATTTGTGAGTGCAATGGTGGCACCGAGTGCACAGCATGCGGCTCAGTCATTGCCTTGAAACAGGATTGCGATTTGCCTACCCGCAACGTCCCACCTATCACTGAACCTCCGGATGCGGAAAGCCGAAAATGGAACGACTATGAAGATTTTTCCGTTTCCTAGTTCTCATTGATACATCAGGTGATCACGGCTTCACAAGGCTATTGCCAAGCCGTATTCTAAAAGTGGCTTTGTTCTCGCCCTCATGATGACCCTCTGATCGCTGTACATAGATACTAGTACGTAAATTTCATGGAACAGAGTATCAATAAACGGATCTGATCTGCAGGAGGATGATTGGAAGAAGGCACAGAGGGGCAGAGAAACCTATGTCCCAAGGACAAATCAAGGAGAACATCAAAATGACATGTGTTGTAAATTTTTAACTTCAGATCCAATAAGCACAATCGTATAGTAAACTAGTCGTATGAAGGGAACGAAAAAAACGCCGGACTATCCTGGTATGAAACGCTTGAGTAGGGTAGAAATTGCAAAAAGGGATGATCGGGAAGCGTTTCGTCGTCAATCTCGACAAACAGCTCAATCGGATTTCGGTATGTGAATTGGGACTTGCGAGGATCCGCTCCATTTTGAGATTGGTCTGGAGAATATTCTGGGTCGCCGGATGTGAGACTCGGTGAGGCTATCTGATTGTCGGTGTTCAGTACCAAGCTTGGTTGGCCGCCGATTGGTGAAGGCTCGGGAGCACGCTCAGTATCTGGAATTTCTGGAAGTATCGGTTGTGTAAAATCGGCACCCTGGGGTGGGGGTTGGTTCCCGAGAGTTGTCGTACTTTCGCTATCAATGCCTGTTGAATCTCGCGCCTCAGGTCCCTTGATCTCAATCACAGACTGCCCTGCACCACATGATTCCCTCCGACCAAGAGTACTACTCTCTCCAGAAGAAGTGTATGCTGTTTCTGCCTCACCCCCCCCCCGGTACATTCGGTAATCCCAGATGAGGCGCGTGTCATAGCTGTAGCTTTTGTGGAGCCTGAGCGGTCACTCAAGGTCCACCTCATGGAGTTTGCGGGCTCGGCTTCGGGTTCAAGAAGATCGCTAGCTTCGATCTTAGCTGGGAAGTGGAATGAATCCGGATCATCGAAAAGGTGATCAATGGGAAATAAAGGGTCAGTTATCGATAGATTGGCTTTCGAATTGGCCGAGACGGGCCTGAAGATCGGAGTGGAAGATGCTGGCTCGCTGGGACTGCCACTTGATGCTACAGTATCACCAGTGGGGGGCTCGATATCTTCGGATGTATCAGGGGTCCAGTTCTCCTCAACAAGATGCCACCATCTCTTCTCGCCAAAAGCGGCGTGTAGCAAAATCTCCTTGAGTAAAGTCTTTTCCAGTTTTGACTCTGACAATATCTCGAAAAGCCAATCGTCTATGCGACTATGGGTCACTGACCAACTAACCCGATCCTGCTCCAAGGTGGTATCTCTTCTACGCCGAGACGCCTGTGCAACTTCTCCAGCCTCAACTACAGTATCTGGGGTTTGTGGTATCGTTTGTGGAGAGCACCCGGATGATGAAAACTCTGAGACCACATCAAGCTGAGGTTCCGACCGCTGGTCGCCACGAATGTCTTGAGTGTATGTATCTAAGTTCATAGGAGATCGACCCAGTGGAGGTGGGGGTGGAGGCGGTGGCGGGGGTCGCTTGGGTGGAATCTGCGAGTGCGACTCACGATGAGGGTTTTTGTTCGTGGCGTTGAGAGACATTTGCGAGCGGTTATATTGTGATGTAGTCGTGGCTAACGTCGGTCCAGTTAGGTCAAGATGGGCTGGCAGATATGTAGGTTCTGGGGGGCCAGAAGAAAACTGCGTTATGGTTTCCGTATCTACGTTGCGCATCTCAAGTAGGGGTATGGGAAGACTTGACGCATGTAATGCAGGTCGCTGTCCCGGCAAGTCATCCACAAATTGAGTTTCTTTCTGCGTATATCTCCATTCTTCAAGGTTGTAGATCTCCTCTTCATGCTCCAATTCGCTCTCCGATTGTATCAGGCCCTCCCTCATGCTGTTAGCCTTTGATATTGCTTCCTTAATGTCGTCGGGTAGCTCAATGCTGTTCTCAGCAAGAAATCGTGTTGTTCGGTCCAAAGCCGTTGCAATTTGCGTATCTACTTTCTCCCGAGACTCTCGAAGTTCTCGACGCTTGGTATGCAATCTAGACCGAGAACCGACCAGGTCGTCTCGAGCGTCTCGTAGCTCATCTTGCTGCTCTTCAATATAGTCCAAGAGGTCCTGATACGGATCTATGGTAGGTTCCATTTCGAGATACTGCTTGTGGGAAGCCGTAGGTAATCTCTCAGCTTGTTCAAACAATGTGTGTGGGCTCCCTTTTCGCGGGAGTGTGCACTAATAACGCTCACATGGTCACTCGGCGATAGGGGCTGAAGATGCAGATGTTCAAGAATAGATCTTCCATTCCTCAAGTACCACGGATCGAATTGTCGTGAGTTATCAGAAGTATGTTTGAAGGTGAGGGGCTGTTGAGTCAAGCCAGATGGGACATGCGTGACACTATGCGTGAATCAGTGTCGCACGAAAGTTTCCATTGGCGAAGTAGCAAACCTGGGTGTGATGTCGACATGTGACTTTGTGGATGAGTGAGATGGCTTGCATATATTATTCGATGGCAATGGAGCGTTGTTAGGCTGCAGCAGCGGCCACCAAGACGTAAAGCGAGGAGCGGCCAGAAGGCGTTAATATGCGACCCGACAATGGAGACCCAGAACATTACGGTGTGAACATGGATCGCAAGCGCCAATGCGTGGCTTTAGCGCGAGGTATGTATGAATCGATTGCTACAGGGGCTGGCTCGTTCGATAACAGCGCCATGCGAAAGCCACGCGCACCAAGCACCAGGGTGCGCAACCCTCAGCAGAACATGGGCTGCGGCTCCACCAATTGCACCCCTCTGGTCTTGGAGTCATCAGCGCATGTGCAATTGTCGTAAACGAAGTTGCATAGTATGCGCTGTTCCCTATTGCGCCTTGGAGAGCCACATACTTATCACTTAAAACTCCCCAATGGCGCGAATCGACGTGGCCTTTGTGCCCTCTAAGAAACATTGTCGTGGCATGTCGTACAGTTTGTTTGCGCGTGACCATGTCTGCGCCAAATGAGCCTTTTGATCCCAGCCGAAATCATAACAATCGTCAGAGACATGATCCCGAATCTCGTTAGTTACCGGTGCGCTCATGCGTAACAGGATAAATCAGAGCTAACTGTGGTTAGACCCGTCACCGCAGCGTTGGAATAGCGCACAGAATCCGAGAACCCCTCCAGGGTACGTACACTCAAAATCCCCATTGAGTTACATTACTGACATTGGTGCAAGAAGAACCACTCGGGCCGAGCCTCATGATTCTGGATACACATCGGTGCCGCGATATGGACCACCTTTCATCCCGGGTACAGTGCCCTCGTTTTATGGCGGTTCCGAGCAAGGCGGATATCAGATAGTCAGCAACCAACTACAACCTCCCTACACAGCCCTTGGTCCGAATTCAGGGTACCCTGGGGTTCCCTCTCCCTCACCCAACTATGGACCTCCAAGAAGGGGAAGCCACCCACACTCTCGTCGCTTACCAAGAGGCGAAGGATCCTTGATTGAAAGTTCATCTCCAGAGCTGTCTGAGAGCGTTGATCCCAGCTATTATGTAAGGAGTAGAGACTTCTTCATCGAAGGCAGAGTGTTTGCCGTCATCATGAACGAGACTGCCGGAGACACTTCGAGACCGCTTGACTACAACACGTCGCGGTCCCTGAATAAAGTGAGATTCAACAACAACTGGGTCTACACAAATACTCGTAGATTCATTGTGGTCAGGAAGAAGCGCGAATTCTGCTATGCTTGTCCCATCTTCACTTATTCTGGAAGAGCAACGACCAAGAGCGGCGTGGTACCAGGAGAGCACAGCATTGTCTATTCCCGAGGTACAGATCCTACGCTTCTCAACGGCGAATATGGTATCACGAAACCACCTATTGTCGTCGATATGACTGCGGGTGAAAACTACTTACAATTTGCATCACGAATCTATTTTGGGATCCATCATCCTATCCAGTACAATGTCAAGGTCAAGGACGTTGGCCAGGTACCAGAAGAGGCTATTCCGCTGCTCATCGGAAACTGGCGAGAAGAGAATCGCGCCGATCAGGACTCGAGGCAATCAGCCAGTGTTACGGATCTTGCTGAGGTAGACGAGGAAGATGAAGCAGGCGAGGAAGAAGAAGAGGAAGAGAAGCCTGTCGATTCTTACATATACCACGCCAGGTATAACGTCAAAGGTTACCATCCTCAAATCAGTCCATATAGCTATCACCCTACGCACAATCTCTACGGTTGGCACGAGACTTTGGCACCAGAATGCTACCACCCTGAACACAACAAGGAGGGATTTCACTACACCGGCAACCGCTGCGGTTACCACAGCGTATCTAATCCATTCGGTTACAACTCCCAAATCGCCCCAGACAACTACCATCCGGAGCTGAACCCCGAGGGCTACCACTCGGAAAAGAACCCCACTGGATATCACCCAATCTCCAATCCGACTGTCTACAGTAGCAAAAGGAATCCGCATGCCTATCATCAGACGAAGAACCCCTATGGGTATTCGACAGTATACTACCATGCTTATCACCCGGTCCATAACCCGCATGGCTACCACTACTTGCACAACCCGTACGGGTATGATCCCAACTCAAATCCCACAGCGTATCATCCACAGTACAACCCGAACGGTATCCGCCCGCCAGTCGTTGCCGACAGCGTGGGCGACATAACACAAGCTCTCCAGGTTACGACTTTATGATTTCTATTCTTGATAATACGACCTCAACGCGCCACAACACAGTACGATTACTATCTTCCATCTATTGAACTTACGCGACCAAAGATATTCATGAACGCCTTGTTATCGCACTCTGGAGACATACCAATGACATTACTGGTCTCCCATCTATACGTTACTCACTGTTATCTACAACCATACGATCGATACGTTATTTCCAGCGGCAGATAACTGGAAAGTTCACTAGGAAGGAGAGTTGGATGTTTGTGTTTATATTTTCTTTTCTCCGCAATCAAGCACTTCAAACGCCAGAGTTAGAGGACGCCATCCACACAAATCTCCTTGCACCGTCTACACTGTTCCAGCTAGTTTCAGCCCGATCCCCTTGAACTCATGATAAATGTCGAACAAGAGCCACCGTCCGTCAAATTGATATATATATATATATATATATATTGAAAAGCTGGCACTATTAGTAGTAGTATGACTACCTAATAGAGCGCTCTCTAAGGCACAACGGTAGTGGTGGTACGACTCGTATTGTATTGACTAAGGAGCTATTCACACGTTCGTAGATCCGTGTTGCGTGCAGCTGCGTCCAAGCTCCCCGCTAGGACCCACCTGCACGTGTCACCAATCATGTGACTACTCCTCCGCTTGATACCACCAAGTCACTTACGGACTGTATTCTCAACAATATATATATATAATATCTTACAAGAATACCTAAATCCAATGACCCATGGTGATATGTGGCTACTCTTGAGCTGAATCGTCACCAAGCCAGCCCAAGCTGAACAAAGCCGAAGAAACCCAACCACCGCCCGCCCTGAAACAAGTATATTCCTCGTTTCAGCGCCAGAAAACGCCAGCAAACCACGTATGTAAATGTATGTAATCGCAACACGCTGTACCCCCTACCATTACCCAACTCCGCGGATCCCGGACCCCCAGAGTTCTGATGCCGAATCGTGGATGCAAGGAAATTGAGGACCAATCTGTGACAGGCAGCTGAAAGAAGCAGAGTCATACCGACTAACAGAATGATTGGATGGCCTGCAAAGTTCTCTGGGCATATTGCGCAGGAGTGGGGTAGGATGCGCTGCAGTGACAAAAGCTTATGACTGCAGTAACAGAACAAAACAGATTGAATACCGTGACCCAGAATACCTGGAAACATTGTCTCTTGATTTCACTTGGAGACGCGCCACACACCAAATCGTCAGCAGCGAGGAGTAATCAGATACAAGCTGACAATTACATGACAAAAAAAGGCGAATAGGCAAATTCGAGCTTTCATAAAATGAATCTAAAGCTACAACGCACAAGTCCGAGCTTGCAGCTTCACCCATATGGAGGCTAGCAAATCTGTCCTAAAATCATACATTTTTATGTTCATTTCTTGCCCTTGCCTCTTGCATTGAACGTCTTCAACGGATCGACCTTTCCATTTCTCCGGACAACCTTCCTGCCCCTGCCCTTGACATAAGTCCTCCTGTTGGGTTTTGGTATATTCAGGCCGACGAAGCCCACGTCTTCTGGTTTCTTGCCGCCGGGAAGCAGGTAGTCGGGGACATGTTTGAGATGCGGTTGGATTCTGGCTGGGTGGTTGAGGGTTTGATCGTGGCGGAGGTGCGCGAGCGCTTCAGGGTTCTCTTCAAACTGCGTGGTGTTAGTACTGTGTGGTAGTAAGATAGCAAGGTGTAACATACGTATCGGGAGAGCTTTTGCGACTTTGCTAGCTCCATGTGGATCTCTTTGATACGAGCTTCACGGATGGCGATTCGAGTGACCGACCGTAGTGCGTCGCTGAATCGATACCTGAAGGGCTCCAGTCGCTTCATATCGAAATTGTAGTTCTCCAACTTCTGGCCCTCTTGTTGGTGCTTTTCAACCTTCTTGAGAACCTCCTCGTCGTGCTCGCATCCGGCAAATGTGGTTGGTTTATGTTTTCTGTACTGGTCTTTTGGAATGATGAAGGAGATGGCAGTCCCGGACTTTCCAGCTCGTGCTGTCCTTCCTATCCGATGGAAGTAAGACTTGTATGTACCGGGAAAGTCAAAATTGAGTACGCAGGAAACGTTGAGGAAATCAATTCCACGAGAAACGCCAGAGTCGTTGCTGTCCTTCTTCGCCTTCTTCTTCTTCGGTCGTGTCTCGCTGTCCTGTACACCTACGACGTCAGTCTCATCGCTCGCGATGAGGATGTTGTACTCGTTCCTGTTGAAGCACTCAACGATGTGAGTTCGAGACGCTAATGGTAATTCAGAGTTGAGGACACAGCTCTTGATTCCGAATTGTTCAAGAAAGAGCTTGACGCGATATGACCGGTCCACATCCCCGACGAATACGATTGTTTTCCCTTTGATCAATTGAAGCTTGAACATGGCGTAGATGAGGAGGAATTTCTCATCCTCTCCCACCTTCAAAACGTATTGCTTGACCTTGTTGGAGTCCTTGTCAAGGTCCGCAAGCTTGAGTACGACGGGGTTGGTGCAGAGCAAGGAGCCGAGCGATTCGACGTCGGTCGAGAGGGTTGCTGAAAGGACGATCTTTTGTACGCCAGCAGGCATCTCACGAGCAATATTCTCCATGTCTTCAGAGAAGCCATAGCCGTTGATAAGGTCACCCTCGTCTACAACCAATGTTCCGAGATCGCTAATGGCTAAATTCGAGCTGTTGATGTTCGCCCATGCCCTCGCAGGCGTAGCCACGACAACCTCAGGCTTGTCCGCCAACGCGGCCTTTGTGACAACCTCCGATTCCTTGCCTGCGATGTTTCGTACCCTGATTTCCTGTCCACAATGCTGTGAGAGCGATTTGGCGACTGTCGCAATCTGTAAGCACAGCTCCCTGGTGGGTGCCAGGATAAGAGACGTCTGCTTTCGCTGGAGCGTCTTGTGTAAGATCGGAAGTAGGTAGGCAGCCGTCTTGCCGGTACCAGTGCCTGATCGAGCGAGAATATCGCGACCCTCTAGAGCCAGTGGTATAGCCTTGGATTGTATATCGGTCGGTGATGCCCATTTGAGATCGCGAATCGCCCTCAGCAGGCGCGGCTCAAGGTGAAGTTCGGCGAAAGATACGGGAACAGGTTTGTTGTTGGCGGCTTCTCTTGAAGCCTTCTTACTCGTCAATGTCGTGGGTGTCGCTGTCGCGGTCATGGTCGATTGCGCGGGTCGGGGCGAGCTGCTGACTTCGGATTGCGATTCGTCTCCAGACGTCTCCTCTGGCACATCGTGCTCGTTCAGTTTGCGTTTGGCCATCGTGTGATAGTCCGGCTCAAAATTACAATAGGTAGTCCTGTTGTTGTTTCGGCGTAGAGTTTTCTCGTATTCCCTCCGTCGCAACTTCCTCTCGAACTTTTCTTTGGCACTAATGCGCCGCAGCCTTGGCGTGCCCCACAGCGGAGAACAGTCGGTAAACGCCGGTCCCCTTTGATTCACCAACACATGCGACGTCTCACTCTCCGCGTAAACCCGTCGGCCCAGTCGCTAACATTCGTGGAACACCAGAAGTTCAATCTTCACCTCCAGGTAACGTTAGTCTCTTACGACCTAGCAGAACCGACTCTACACACGTCAACTGGATCATTCCTGAAGACAAAGTATCATATTCTTTACAAGGGAACATGTCAGAAAGTGAAGAATTGCATTATGTCGTAGATCGTAGTCATGCGGACAATCAAGTACGACGGTGTGCAAACTACTAGTATTACATTTGCTAGATAGCCTCGAGAGTCCTGTCTACACAGCTCCTCCCCAGGTTCACGATATGAACGAATAATAACCAACACGTTTTCCATGCTTCTAAAAGTCCTCACCACCATGCCATTAAGCCTTAACTAGGCTCTCCTTTCGCACAAAGCGTTTATGCCTTGAACTTCCTGGATCCGATGCTGAGCAGGGGGAAGTTGCGGGTGTATTGGTTGGCACGGCAAGCAGCGTCGCAACCCTGTATTATGTTAGTGTCGGTATTTGTTGAGTGAAGATTGGGACTTACGTCAAGGAGGTCGAGGTCGATCTCGGCGTTGATCTGAATGCCAAGGCTAACAAGGACGTTGACAAGGACCTTGATGTCAAGGACGTTGAGGTCAATGGAAGCCGCGATGATAGCATGGAGGGTGACATCAGCAACGCCATGAGCACTGGCGCTGTAGATGGAGATGCTGGCGCCAATGTTGAGGCCAACAAAAGCAGAGTTGTGGATAACCAGGAATGCGTTGCCGTTGGCGTCGGTTCCCCAGCCAAGGATAGTGATGTCGGCGGTAACACTGAGGAGCTGACCAGCGCCGGTGAACTTCCAAGAGTAGGGGTAGTTGGGGTATGCGACCAGACCACCGAAGATCGTGCCGACCTGAACGTCAAGTCCAATTACTCCAACTTCAAGAGCAAGGAGGAAGTCGACCTCAGACTTGGGGTCGCTGGGGTTCTGGTACTTGAATTCGCATCCACCGTGGGTCAAGTTGGAAAATGGAGTACCAGATGTGTGAGACAAGTACCACTTCTGTCCGTGGATGAAGTCAATCTCTGGGCCAACCCAAAGGTCGACCTTGGCCTGCAGTTCAGCCTGAATATCGACATCAGCCTTAACCTCAATAATGTTGAGGAGGTTGAGGTCGACATGGATATCAGCATCAACTTCAGCGTCAAGCTCGGCATGAACGTAGAGAGCTGGCAGGCGGATATCGACATCGACTGCAACTCCAGCGTCCCGGGCGTAATGGTGGGGGAGATCCTGGGCACTGACGCCGAGCGCAATGGCGCTGGCAGCGAGGAGCATAGAGGACAACATGGTGATGATGGAGGTGTTGGATGGGTGAGGAAACGATTGACTAGGCTCGGAGAGCTATTAGGTAATTAAAGTGGTGGTATTAAAGAGTGATGAAAGTTGGTAGTGTGCAATCAAGGAGAAATGAGATCCATTATATACTTCTGTCAGACGGTTAACCCTTGAAGTGCCGCATGTCTACTCAGGCACCAATTCGGTTAGATCTACATTGCATGGTGGTCGAATTTCGGCTGTCTAGGGAAGCGTACGCAAACCATGTACCCGGTACCCATCCGCTGTGAAATTACGCCCAGGTTCGGGAGGCTGTGGAGAGAACTGCGGTCAAGAGATAATACGAGAGATGGCTGACACGGCCAGCTTGGTCGTTCCATACGTTGATCGTCACCCCCTGTCGCGCAAAGGGCGTAGTCGCTAGTATGTATGCATTGTCACAACGCCAACTTGTTGAGAAGTATCGCGAGTTTTTCGACTTTTGTCTCCACTACCGTTGTGTTCATAGAGAAATCCCCTGTGGTGGGATCGACAGCTTTCCTCAGTGATCCGCGTGGTTTAATTCCATTCGCTTACGTAGGCCGTGTTGCTAACATGAACTGTGGCACAGAGGCAGAGCTGCACGGATGCCTTGGTAGTACTGCAAGGCGATCCCCCTGATCCGGATACCCGTGGCCGGATGTTACCGCAAGAAGGAAATTACGTATCTCCAACTTCGTACTCGATAACCAATTTGGGTCGGATACCTTCCTCGTAGGTCCTTCTGCGGCGAGACGATTAGCGCTGAATTACTAGGACAAATAAAAATAGTGTTGCTGCCGGAAGACAGTTTGACTAGCAATTCGTGAAAATACATTCTGGTAGTTATAGCGTAGGTTGTTTGTATAATGCCTATAGTTGTGACGATATTACACAAAACGATCCTGCCGAATTGCGACATGAAGATGCCGCATGTTTGCACTGCGAATGCATTGTGAATACATTAAAATAGCATTACAGTGCAATCCCGACGACTCTGGTGCACGTACCTGACTATCCCACAGAAGCAGTGATGATCATCCGGAGCCTGCGGGGATTTTGAGATTTTCAAACGGCGTCCCGGTGTCATCATTTAGCGTCATCACGTGATGTAACGCTTCGTATCTGAGGCGAATCCGGCTAGTCCGATGTCTACTTGGAGCGAGACGGCTGCTCTACATCCATGGATACTACGTACGTACAAGGGGGCCGGGAGCGGAATGCACGTGTATCCGCCGGACAAACTTTCCAGGGTCACTATCGTGGGGCCCAGGTAAAGAGTCTTAGGTAAATTCTTGTGTGAGTTTAAAGTGTCCTGGGAACTACCTGGGAACGCTCCTATCGGTCAACAAATAGAATCTTGCCAATCCTTGGATACTTGGGCAAGCCTTGGCCGCTTCAGTGCATGTAAACCAGGCTTAGATGGGTGGTCTCCGCCCCCATCATCTCAATGGGTTGCCGTTCAGATCCAACATTCTTACCCTTCGGGGTGTTTCTTCCCGATACAACACATCTTTCGCTTCGAAGGCGTATGTATAATGACGGCACCGTCTGGATTTCTGTCGAGGGGTAGCTGGATAGGGGTAACCTTGCTGTGTGTTCAGAAATGACTTTGAACCTTGTTCAGCCACCATCTTACCACCGAGTTTCACGGTCAGAAAGCGATTGGCCATTATCACTCATCGCAAGCCATGGCGAAAGCGGCAAGAGTAAGCGTAGGGCGATCGTGGCTTCGTTGGGCTCGACACATTACGTGCTAGGAATCTATTGTAAGCTCGCCATCCTTTGACAAGCCGGCTCATCCCCTACCCAACACCACTACCGATAGAACCAGTGACTAGCGTCCACTGTAAGATTTGTCCAGCGTTGTGCCGCCAGTACCCTGCAGTAGGGCTGACAAGTCTGGGCAGGCCTGGACAGGTCTGGGGACGATGACGATGACAAAAAAGGAGAACGAGGGAGAAAAACATGAAAGATCGGTGTGGTGATCATAAAGTGTCTCGGAGTCCTCAAGTCCTTTTCTCGGGGTGACATTGATCGAATGTCACTGAATCCCAACTGCAGTGTCGTCGTCGGTAGTTTGGAGATGGCCCTGTCGTGCAGGCTATACTGCCTGTCTGTAAATCAGCTTTCTACCATCATTAAGGGTTTGTAAGCGTTATGTTTGCAGTCAGTCAAACTCACGGTTTTTCACTCGATTTTAGTCACCCTATCATACTCGGCTCTGCTTGCCTGGTTAAAAAGCATATCAGCCGTACTACGCAACACTCAGTTATAGCCATTGGTGGATAGTATCCCTCATCTCATATAGTTCGCCCTTCCAAAGGAAGTTTCCAAACTTACCTTTTTCCTAGCTTTGGATTTATGACTTGGCGTGTGGAACAAGTATTGCGCGTTTTCGCCGCATGTTCCGCCCAACGCATCCACTGATTAACATGTGCTTTTCGTGTCTAAACAGACTTGATTAGAAGATGTACTCAGATGCTCATGTGCTGCAGGAGCGTAGTCAGTGGAGAATAATGCGTTTATATGTGCGAGTGTGTTGGAGCAATATGACATCGAAATTGAGCGATAGTCATGAGTCCTCAGCGGTTTAGATTTTTTGTGGGCCAAAACTGATGAACAATGTGAGAGCACGCGGTCCTAGTACGAGACCTCTCGAAGTGCAACCTCTCTTGTTCTGGCAATTATAGCGATGAAAGCGGTCTTCGAAACCGAAATATAAGGCGAACTTGAGAGTTTCGTGTGGCCGCCTGCCAGGCAAATCTAAGAGATTGTCATGTTATGAGTGCTCGCGACAGCTAAGCAATCACCCCACTTTTGAGGTTCAGCTCACGTAGATGCGTCTTTGTCGCGCGCTTCACGTCGCGGATCCGTGCTGCCGTGCTACAGCCACCCGAGGACGAGGGAAGATGTGCTTTCGCCCAGCGTACCCTATTACATGTACGATTTAGGTGAGGCCATCGAGTAACGAAAGTGTGAAGATGCAGATTAATCAAGGCCGGGGAGAAACCTGCAGAAGAGCATGTGGGTACTCCTGCTGGCCGACCTCGGCGTGCAGCCTGATTGGTTCTCCTCCATCGCTTATCTCCCATCTCTTGTTTACCTCATCAAAATCTCCAACCGCAACACCAGATGAAGGATATTGGCATTTCAACGCCCAGCATCCAAGAAATGGACACGTTGTTTAGAATATAGGCATGATTGCTGCGTTACGCCGTTCGGTTCCAGCATCCGCTGTGAGGCAAGCGCAACGCAACACTGCGAGAAGCATTTGTCTGTTCTTATCAGTAGATGAGGTATGCCGCGATGCCCAGTCGGCTAAGAAATCCAAGACTCCTGTGACAAGACGAAGTGGCTACACAAGCTTCGAGGTTGCGTGGGACATGGCCAATTTGTGCGCCGAACGCTCTTGACTATCTGATTTGGTTCACCAAAGCCTATCTTTAGCCAATGGGGTCGCAAGACGAATGCAGATTTCGTATGATTGCTCTATGTGTCTGAGTGTGCTGGAGATAGTAGTCTTGGGATCGAAGATGAGCTGGGGATCTTCGAATGTGGGGTTGGACTGAAATATAGTTAGTTTGCCATCCGTCGTGTTGGCCATGTTTTCAACGTCCTGAGCATTCTCCTGAACGCACAAAAATATATTATTCAATGGCTGGCGGCGGTACACCAATCGGGCCATCGGCCTCGCCCTTGGGACAGGCTTGGGGATATGGCATTGTCCTTGGCATTGGTTTTCTCTTCGCGTTGGGCATGGTATGTTGTTTACAGATGGTGCTCTCAACCTTTCCGACAGCAAGTTGACATATTTCGCAAGGTCTTCACCACGTGGGTTCTCAAACGCTACAACAATGAACTGCAGACTTCGGAGATGTTTTCGACCGCTGGCCGTACAGTGAAATCCGGTCTTGTAGCATCAGCAGTAGTATCGTCCTGGACATGGGCAGCTACACTTTTGCAGAGCTCTTCGGTCGCCTTCCGATATGGTAGGTTACCGTATTCCGTTGCCTCATAATTGCAAGCATTAATGATATAAAGGTGTTTCGGGACCTCTTTGGTATGCTGCTGGCGCTACTGTGCAGATTCTACTTTTTGCTACCGTTGCGATCGAGCTCAAGAGGCGGGCACCCAATGCCCATGTATGTCACGCAACCAACTACTTGCAATTCCCTGCGTCTAACTTTTCACTAGACGTTTCTAGAAGCAGTTCGCGCCCGATATGGAAAGACCACCCATCTTGTGTACATCACCTTTGGTCTCTTCACGAACATTCTTGTGACCGCCATGTTGCTCACTGGTGGATCGGCCGTCATCAGCTCCTTGACCGGGGTACCTACCGCAGCGGCCTGTTTCCTGCTTCCTTTGGGTGTCGTCATTTATACTATGTTTGGTGGTATCAAAGCCACGTTCCTCACGGATTATGTCCATACCGTCATTCTGCTCATAATTCTGCTAATCTTCGCATTCACAACATATGCGACCGGCGATAGACTTGGATCGCCAAAGGCAGTCTACGAACGTCTTCAAGAACTTTCAGAAACTACACCTGTACCTGGAAATGCTGGTGGCAGTTACCTCACGATGAGGAGCAAAGATGGCGCCATATTCTTTGTTATCAACATCATCGGTAATTTCGGAACTGTATTTATGGACAACGGATGTATGTGTCGGTCATCAACATTTGAGAATCTAAGATTAATATTTGTTAGATTACAACAAAGCCATTGCTGCCTCTCCTATACATGCGCTTCCAGGATACATTATCGGCGGACTGTCATGGTTTGCCATTCCTGTATGTCATTTCCGGCAAGAACCATGGAATATGACTGACCTCTGACAGTGGCTTTGTGCAACTACCATGGGTCTGGCTGCACTCGCACTCCAAAACACCGAGTACTTCCCTACCTACCCTGAAGTGATGGATGAGGCATCGATTAGTGCAGGACTCACGCTTCCATACGCCGCTGTGGCTCTCCTTGGATCTGGCGGCGCCGTAGCTACTCTTCTTGTTGTTTTTATGGCCGTGACTTCCGCCTTCAGCGCTCAACTTATTTCTGTTTCTAGTATCTTAACGTACGATATCTACGGAACCTATATCAACTCTAGCGCGAGCGGTCGACGGTTAGTTTACACTAGTCATGTTTGTGTTTGTGGCTTCGGCTTGGTCATGGCTGCATTTTCGACAGGACTATGGTATGCAGGAATTAGGCAAGTTATCTACAGTCAAAATCTCAAACTCCACTAATAAACTCCAGCATGGGATGGTTGTATGTCTTCATGGGTGTCATCATCTCTTCCGCAGTACTACCAGCGACTCTCACGTTGATGTGGAAAGGTCAGAACAAGTGGGCAGCAACCTTGTCTCCAATATTGGGACTGTGCTGTAGCATCACCGCATGGCTCGTCACAACTTCCAAGCTGAATGATGGAGTCATTACTGTGGCTACTTCTGGCGCAAACAACCCAATGCTAGCAGGCAACGTCGTCGCTTTGCTCTCTCCTATCATCTTCATCCCGGTACTGACGTTGATTTTTGGCTTTGGTAAGCAGCAAGATTCACTCGCCATACTCGGTTTATGCTAATAGCGAGACAAGACAACTACGATTGGGTATCGATGAAGAACATCCGGCTCGTCGACGACTCGGACGTCACAGCAGCCGCTCACATGGATCTCGAAGCTGTGCACGGTCGTCACGCTGCCCTCTCTCCAGAAGCCGAAGCCGCTGAGCAAGCCAAGCTCTTCCGTGCTTCCAAGATCGCGAAGATCACCACCGCCACTATGACTCTCGTGCTCCTCGTGCTTTGGCCAATGCCACTATACGGTACTGGTTACATCTTTAGTCAGTCTTTTTTCTCTGGCTGGGTTATCGTCGGCATTATTTGGCTGATGTGTTCGACCATGGCTGTGGGTGTTTACCCGCTATGGGAAGGTAGAGAGAGTTTGGCAAGGAACTTTGGTGGCATGTGGCGGGACGTGATGGGCAAGGGCCGTCATCGCGGCGACCACGTTGAGGTGACTGAAGGCGAGAAGACGGGAGAGTCTGGTACGAACACGCCTAAGCAGGCTTACGCGAAGGCTTTGGAGCAGTAAACGTCACGGCTGTATACAGGCAGTTGGGTGGTCATGTGCTATCGCTCGTTCAGCACGTGTTGGTGGCATACCTCCTAGCTCGTATCACGCGTCAAATGAAGCCTTCAATGTTGGCTCAATTAGATCTCAATTTTGGATCTTCCTAGCTCGTACTCGGTAGATGTAGTCGTACCTAGGTCTAGTACTGAATTAGCTGCTGTTGAGTCTCGTGTCTCGATGGGTTGCCATTGACACGACGTGAGAAAGCGGGCCTTGTCGCGATGCGGTAGTAAACTAGCAGGCACATCTAGATGTGCAATTGCCCAGCCCCCACTTCCATCTCAGCGTCATCCACCACAAAGTCGCATGAACGGATCGATTTCACCGACCCGGTTGATGGATACAATCAAGACCACAAATGCATCATTTAGCCTCATTCCTGCCTCCTCGGTGATTCTCTACCCATAGCACGGGGCCCTTTGCGATGATGCGCAACCTTCTGCACACCGCACGCTTCCAACACTTTACCCTCCCTGTCCACGCCTCGGGACTATTTCTCCAACATGCAGCGCACTATTGGCGACAAACGGCCGCGATTGCAGGAACAATGATGGTGTCGATCACTTTACCCCAGAAAACCCCGCGTGAACCGGAAATTCCTTCGGACCCTTCTCCACCGAGGGTAAACAAGATGCAGGGATTGTGTTCTCCCACGTGATGATCAACAGGGCTTTGGTGCGCGCGCGCAGGCGTGTTCTGGAAAGCCTATATAATAACCGATTGTTGGAGTAAGTAACATGGCGGCTTGTGTTGTTGTTCCCATAGTCAAGTCATCGTTTGTCCAAAGATGAGCGCTTTCAAGTTTCTATGGCTCGCCGTTTTGGCTATTGCGGCGCCTGTGGAGGAGCGATCGAAGAAGCCGAAGAGCTTCCTTAAGGTGCTGGGGAATTCGACGTGGGTTATTGGTAATGATGTTTGGAATGTTACGCAGAATCGGCAGTATGCGAATAAGTTGATGTACAAGGGGAAGGATCGTGTTGGTCCGGCTGTGGGACACTACGTGAGCTACAGTACGTTGAATCCGACCAAATTACCGTACGAGATTAGCTGACAGTTCTCTCCTCTCGTGCAGATGGCGCTGCTTCGGATCTTAATTGGACGTCTGCTGCAATTGTCGCACAGGATAGCAACTGGATAAATGTCAGATTTACGGCTAAAGAGGGCGACTTTCACTGGGTCATCCACGATGGGCTTCCAGGCGCATACCAATACTTTGTGAACCACGCGCTTCCCACGCTGGGGGAATTCCGCACGCTCTGGCGCCTCGACAACACGTCTTTCACCCATGGCCACACCAAGGTCAAGGACGGTGTACTACCCCCGCTATCCGAATACGCAAACGCGACCAATGTGCAGGACGAAACCTGGCAGAAAGCTGATGGCACGTTCCTGACAAAGTACGACTGGAGTGATTTTATTAGAGAGCAGACGTACTATGGTGTTTACGGAGATGAGGTCGGGAGCTGGTATCTGAGTCCGGGAAAAGACCACTTCAATGGTGACCATCTAAAGCAAGAACTGATGGTACGCCTATCTATAGCCCTACCTATAGCACAAGCTGACTTGACTCAAAGATCCACCGCGAATCCGAAACTGGCGACACCGTCCAACTAAATATGATTCATGGAACCCACTACATGGCCGTAGCAACCGATTCCTTCGCCGACAACAAAGTCTGGGGTCCCTGGCTCTGGTACCTGAACTCTGGGTCCAAGGCCGACGCAGCCGCACGTTGGAAACAGGAACTAGACGCCTGGCCATACAAGTGGTTCGACAATAAGGCGTACCAGTCTCGTGGTAAGATTCAGGGGCGGCTTCGACTCAGCGATGGCAGACCGGCTGCCGGCGCCGCAGTCTTCCTAGGTGATAACCGCAATACCACTGTCTCTACACTAGACCAAGGCCAAGGATACTACTACACCACGTACGCCGATGCCGACGGGAAATTCAGCATACACGACATTCGCACGGGAACATACGCGCTATACGCGTGGGGGAACGGCGGTGCGCTGGAAAACGTCATTTCCAACTTCACCCACAACGACGTTGTGATTCAGCAGGGCAAAAACACTAATCTCAAAGATCTCACGTGGAAGGTTCCCGACTGCTCCAAGCGCATCTTCCAAATCGGAGACTTTGACCGCAAGAGTGATGGGTTTGGCCTCGCGGATCCGAGCAAGCCGTTTGAACACGCGCGCATCGCAAAGTGTCCGGCTAACCTGACCTACGCGGTTGGCAAGAGTGCCAGAAAAGACTGGTGCTTTGGCCAGTCGGTCGAGGGAACATGGACAGTTGTTTTCGAATCACGGACTGAGGCCCAGGCTAAGCTTACGCTTTCGCTCGCGGGTTTCTCGCAGGGGACCAGCGCCGATGTGCTGCTGAATGGGGTGCACGTGGGCAATATTACCAGTACAAGTTTGCTGAACAGTCAGGATACGTACCGTGGGGCTACGAGGGCGGGGGAGTGGAGACTATTAGAATTTGGGGTTGAGAAGGGAAAGTTGAAGAAGGGGGTGAATAAGTTGGATGTCAAGGTTACGAAGAGTACACGATGGAGGGGGTGGCTGTGGGATAGTGTTGTGTTGGATGTGGTGTAAGTGTACAACCAACAGCTTCGTCTTCTCGTTGCTTTTTTGTTTTCAATTGCTCAACGGCCGCACCAAGTTGTCGTCGGAGAGTAGTCCTCCTAGGGCACCAAGCATGCCCTGAAGCCTTTCCGACTCGATGCCTATGCTCAGATCCACCAACCCGCCAGCGGGAGGAGAGAACTGGCGCAGCGTCACACCACACCTGGCGAGTGTAGCAGCAGACTGGTCGTCAACGACGTAGCCTTGATTATACACGACCTCTGTTATTCCAACTTGGGTGATCTTGGTAGCGCACGTCAGGCATGGGCACGTGTTGCAGTACAAAGTGGCACCCTCGCCGATGCGTTCGCGGCCGGCTTCAAGTAGGGCGTTTTCTTCGGCATGAAGGCAGATGCAGGCCGAGAGGCTACCCGACGTACCACTATTACAGCGTGCGCCTGGAGAACATGTCAGCATGGCTTCGCTTGTTGGTCCTTTTGTTCACGTACATCCGCCCTGGTTGCAGTTTGTGTTGCGGCGTGATGTGCCATTGTAGCCAGTGCTGATGATTCGTCTGTCCCTCACGATTACGGCACCTACTCTTCTCTTCATGCAGTTGCACCTCATAGCCGCTAGACCGGCTATCATCATGAAGTATTGGTCCCAGTCTGGCCGCAAACGCGTGTCGTCCAGGAGGTTGACGGCGCGTATGGCTTCATGTAGGGAGGCCAACGAAGCCGAGTTGTTGAGGAGCTTCAGCTGGGCTCGCTGGAATAGGCCACATAGTCCCGTATTGGGCGCGTAGAGATGCTCGTCGTTCTTGAGGACAAAAGCCTCGAGATCAGGTTCTGGGAGCTGCTTGGCTGCACAGACGCGCTGGAATCTCTTCCAGCGCACCATCAAGGGTGCATCTACGCTGACGAGAAGGAAGAAGGGGCGGATGAGGAGCTGGTTCACTACGGCATCGTCCCAGACGCCTGTCATGACCCAGCGCTCTCTCCATCTCAACGTCACGTGTGCGCTCAGCGAGTCTACATTCTGGAAGTTGTGTTCTGGGCTAACACCCAGTTCTTCGGCCGAGGGGAACGGATTACCCGTCGGAGGGGTGGTAGGAATAGTGGTAGCTGTCGGAGCTAGGTGTATGCGTGTGAAGCCATGCTGCTCAACGAGGTATGAGGCTATCGACGACTTGCCGGCACATATTCCTACGGCGAGTCAGCGAAGCAGCAGACACATCCGGGCAGCTTCTTGCCTCCGCACAATCCAATCAACATGGCGAAACGAGGTTGTGTAGGCAAACATGCTGGCGGCGGTGAGTTGGATGTAAGAGCTTCATGTTTAGCGTGTTGGCGGCTGCAGGAACACGGCACGGCGGGAACCCCCACCTGTCTGGACGCATGACACGAACGGCGCGGGGCCCAAGTAGCTGGAGCCCGCCATAGGCATCACATTCACTCTCAGGCGCTCGTTCCTGGCCACTTGACCTTGTCTTACCTGGTGCCTGGTGCCTGTGACTGTGGACGTCATCGCCTGCTAAATCTCAATATACTTTTGATGGTTGGTTGCCGCGACATATTCCAGTCCATTCCCATACCTAACCTCATCGCCCAATACCCCACTAGTACCATGGTACAGTCGACTCAACGAGCCTCACAATCCAACTGCTCTCAAATAACTTCAAACAATTAGAACGACCTACTAAACAACTACACAACATGGCGACGCTCAAGTTTGCGCCCTGGCTGAGTGACGTCGACGTGCAATTCTACGCCGCCCTCGCGCATATCAAGATTAACCATGATAAGCTCGACGACTCGGCGCGCAAGGTCCTCGGCTTATACGAGGTGCGCCCTAGCGAGCACTCGTCGCGCTCCATGCGCGTCCAGATACATCCAAACGCCCTCACATCGGACGAGTATGATATGCGCACCTGGAGTAGGAGTTATGATTGACAGTAACCAGGACACCCCCTAATTTCTGCCGCGCCGAAGGCATTATTAAAAACTGTAATACCATAGAAGACTACAAGAACCTCGATCGCGCTGCGATTCTCGATCGATGCGCCCAGACGGTAGACTCAGATGTGTCTGTTAAACTTATAGTCTGCTAATGTAGTCAGATATGGGATGCGATTCACGACGGCTCCATATACGAATGCCCCTCGCTCCTCTCGTCGTTTACCGCCATCATCTTTGCCAACCTCAAAAAGTACAAGTTCACATACCACTTTGGCTTTCCTGCCATACAGTCAGACCCACCATGGAAACAAGTGGGAGAGGCGACAAGGCTACAGGCTAGGGAGACTACGTATCTCGTAGACGCGGTGCAGACGTGGCGATACAGCTCCGATGTGCGCCAAAGAGGCTTCTTTCTGGCAAAGCGCATACGAGGCGGCGGCGACGCGGAGGAGCGACCAAAGACGCCAGTATCGCCGCTGGAAGAGTTTGGCTACACGTGGACTATTGGAAGGCTGGAGGCATATGAGAAGGGCTTCTTCGAAAAGGTCGATAGTCAGGATCGCTTTATTTGCTTCGCGGACCCCTCCACGTACGAGACGAACCCGGGGTGGCCGCTTCGCAACCTGCTCATACTCATGCGACATCGATGGCATCTGAACGATGCTCAGATCATGTGCTATCGCGATACGCATACGCGACGCGACCAGCCGAACTCCTTGATCCTGCAACTCCACTCCGATCCTGCGCCCGAATCCGCGCCCATGTCGCCTGTGTCGGAACGGTCAGACCGGTCACAGGCGCCGAAGCTACCAAAGGTGACGGGCTGGGAGAGGACAGAGGCGGGAAAGCTCACGTCTCGCAACGTTGACCTGTCAGAGTACATGGACGAGAGAAAACTGGCGGATCAGGCTGTGGACCTGAATCTTAAGCTGATCAAGTGGCGCATTGCTCCTACCATTGACCTGGATGTTATCAAAAACTGTAAATGCTTGCTGCTTGGAGCGGGTACCCTGGGCACATATGTCTCGCGAACGCTCATGGGATGGGGCGTGAGGAAAATCACCTTCATCGACAACGCGACTGTCAGTTTCTCAAACCCAGTGCGACAACCGCTATTCAACTTCAAAGACTGCATACAGGGTGGAGCGAAGAAGGCGGAACGCGCAGCCGAAGCACTCGAGGAGATCTACCCAGGTGTAGATGCAACTGGCCATGTCATGGAAGTCCCCATGCTAGGCCACCCAATGACGGACCCAGCAAAGACGAAGCTCGAGTTTGAAAAACTCCAGCAGCTCATTAGTGAGCACGACGCCATCTTCCTCCTCATGGACACGCGAGAGAGCAGATGGCTACCAACTGTCATGGGCAAAGCTCACGGCAAAATCGTCCTCAACGCCGCCCTGGGCTTTGACACGTACGTTGTCATGCGGCATGGTCTGAAAGCCACACAAGAAGGTGAAGCAGAGCTAGGATGTTACTTTTGCAACGACGTCGTTGCGCCCGCAGACGTATGTCATCACATTCTTCTCTCTGAAACCCCCATACTAACTCCAAATCAGTCCCTAAGTAACGCGACTCTCGACCAACAATGCACCGTCACCCGCCCTGGCGTGGCACCCCTCGCCTCCAGCCTCTTAGTCGAACTTCTAATCTCTATACTTCAACATCCACACAAAGCCCGCGCTGCACCCCCTTCCCAAACCACCAAACCAACCTCATCCCACCCCGCCCTCCCCCCTCCTTTCCAACACCCTCTAGGCATCATCCCTCACACTATCCGCGGCTACCTCTCCACCTTCTCCAATCTGCAGGTCGAAGGCAAACCATACGACTGCTGCTCTGCGTGCAGTGAACGTGTGCTAGAGGCGTATGAAAAGGATCCTTGGGCGTTTGTGCAAAGAGCGCTTGACGAGAGGGGGTGGGTGGAGGAGATGAGTGGATTGAAGGAGGTGCAGAGACGGGCGGATGAAGCGGAGGGAGATTTGGATTGGGATGAGGAGGGCGAAGGAGAGGGCGGGGGGTTGGAGGAGGAGGGCGAGTTATTGTGACAGTTATGGAAGAGGTTCTGGGCCAAGGGGAGGTGGCGGTGGAGATGGATTAGGTGGTTGACGTGGCCCTCGGCTTGGTTTTGGGGGGCTTGAGTCGTATGTTGACCCATATATGTATTCACTTATTATTATCACATGAACGTCATCGTGTTTGATGTTTTTGGGGGTTTTTTGGTGCAAGGAAACAATTAACATCAACGTTTTGCATGAAGATTTTTAATCCTTTTCTCCCACTGAAATGCGGTATATGGGAGCTAAACTCCGTCTTCTTCATTGCAACTTCCAGTCAGTATTTCTACATGCAATGATCGAGCCAGAGAAACACATAGGGTGCTGTCTACAGTGTTTTTATTGCCCAAAGGCTTCCACATCGTCGCTTTTCGTTGTGTATATTTCTGGTTTCTTCAAGCTTCTCTCATGCGGACGGGATAATCATGTTTTAGCTAAGGTGAAAAAAAAACTGTCCCATAGTTCTCAAGGCTGTTATTTTAGAAATAGTACGTGAGAAGAAGATGAGGTAAAGGTAAAGAATGAGGAAAGAAGGAAGGAAGGAAGGAAGGAAGGAAAGAGAACACATCAAATATCTGCTCAACCAGTTTTTATTTAGCTGCAACACAGCAGAAGCGGGGGAAAGACATGAGCATTAGGATTGTAGTTTTAGTACAGCCGCACAGGAAGATAGAAAAGAACAGGAACATGAGGAAAAGCATACCTCGTTGCTGGGGCAGTTTCAGTGATTGATGTCGTCGTATTCATTTTTTATTATAAATGGAAAGAAGAAAGAGAAGAGAGGGATGGAGGGAAGGTACTGATAGTCGTGTTGGTGTGGCTTTTATAGATAGTTTCTGGGCGTACGTGAAACGGAGGAGGGGAACGAAGAAACATCTACGTGTTCGCAGTTAATCTTAGTACAACTTACAAGAAGAGGAAGATAGCAGAACACTCATAGACAGTGTAGAAATCTGTTTTCAAAAGTTTGTCATGAGGAGGCTGCAGTGGTATTTTTTTTACTATCGTGCGTGGGCTTTTATACAACACCAGCGGAAAGAAAGAGTGGTCATTGTCCTTTTGTACACTGTTTTTGAATGCATAGGCATAGAGGGAAGCAGGACATCGCGAGCTGCTGGTAGAATTTTGAAATTCCGAAATTTTGGGAGTGGGAAATGAGGGATTGGACATTTGAACGCTGCGAGAAGGATATTTTTGATTCAGTGGTCTTATAAAGCGCAGAGGGGTGAGAATCATACATTAGAATATCAGACAATCGCTTTTTTTCCAGAAATATGTAGGTAGAAGAGAGCGGGAGCTTTCGTTTGCTTTGCCCAAGGTTGTTTCTGTCAAGCGTCAAGGTTGGGGAGAATCATCATGTCGTATTAGAGCTATCGGGAAGAGGTCTATATACACAGTGGGAGGAGAGAAGGAGCTAGGCCGTAAGGATACTAGCGGGTAAATGGGTGGCTGTCTGGTTGCCCAAAGAGGAGCCAAGGGATAAGCCCTATGGCCGACAGTTTCCAGTCTTTATCAATTCCCGGCGGCGAGATAGCCAGCATCAAACTTATCGTTTGTGAGTTTAGAAAAAGGTTGGAAAAGGACGAAAAGGCCATACGCGACGAGAGTAGTATTTTTTTTTAAAAAATGAAAGGTAGGGAGGAAAGAAGGAAGCTTTCATGTCTTTTGAGCATAGAATCTTTTTAGTGTTCCCACAGTTT